TGGTCAATATCTCTTTCACCCTCCACTGTCTGCCTCCCGACTCTGCTTCCTCAAAATTTCTGTCATACCCTCTCGCTTTCTGACAAAGCCCAATCCCCTAATTTGAAAAATTAATTGAGTCTAAAAATGGCCGACTTGGCCCAGACTTCCGTTGGTGAAACCCTGTTTGTCGATCGTTTTGGACAGTCCATTAGAGACGCTGATTAGGAGAGGAATCTCGCTCATTAGGTGAGTTAACAAGGCAGAACGTCCGTGGTGACGAGGAAAGCTCTCATGCAGACGTCCCAGAAGTTTGGTGGAACAGACGAGGTGTTTGCCCCCTTTAAGTAGACAGTAGTAATCAAGTCTAGTGACCTTAGCGTGAGGACAGTGTTTGCCTGTACTGATGATGGTGGCTGTGCCCGCTTAACTGGATACTTTGTCAAAGCCTTGTTAAAGCCAGCGGATACTGCTTGGTTGCTATTAATTCAAAACACTAATTTAACATTTTCCATACTTAGTTGATGCCTTTAGCTATGATAGTTTACAATGAGTGAGTTAGGCAGATGCTCAGGATCTTGTTGCTTTTAACAGGACATGCAACTGATGATGTTGCAGGAAACAGGCTATGTCTGATTAATACAAGTTAAAACATGTTGTCTTGAGGCACATAATTGTTCTTACACTGTATATGCAGTGAAGCAGCAAGTAGTTATTTTCAGCAAAAAACAACTCTGATGAACCCGCTGTATTATACCCACCCAGAGGCAAACAGCAGACAGACAAAGTTAGCAGCTAGGTTGTGAAGCATTTACAGTAGCTAGAGCACCAGATATTTGGTGGATGTGGAGACTAAAAGAGCTAGAAAGACAGTGACTAGAAGGACCTGGACTTGTCAAGTCGCATGAAGCACAACTTCAAATGAATGCTAATATTGCTTGTGTCTGCTTGATGTGTAAGGCAACTGTTTGCTAACATGTTCGCTTTTACAACTTAAAACCTGATAATATGTGAATGTTGTGTTTACAGCTTGTTACATCAAGTGGCAAAAATCAATTTATACAGGTTTTGATAATAGAACAACTAGAATTAATAGAACAAATAACTGTTGATGGTACAGTATGTCTTTCGTATAAACTGTTAACTTTTTGTGTTAGCCTGTCTGCCAGCAAAGACAAACTTCTCCAGACAGCTTAATGAGCAAGCTAGCTAGCTTATCACCTGGTAGCTAGATGGTAGCAAGGCACTTGGCTTGGTTATGTATCTTGCTATACTTGACATGTCACTGATTAGCTTACCAGCCATAGCCTGGAGACCTGAAAGTAACCACTTTTGCACCACCTACTTCACACGGACATATGAATAGACTTAATTTTGCTGCTTTCTGGTATTAGCAGGTACTATGGCAGTACGTCGCTGTGATTTCATGACATCTATATTCTATGTTGTTCACTAGGATATAGCACAGTACCATCCTTTCTATTTATTTTCACCCTAAAATATAACCGTCTCTACATTAAGTGGGCTTTGGAGAAAATGGGAACAGCAGTGCCAATCCACTGCCAGTAAGTGAGAGCCCCTCTGCACCCTGCAGCACTACAGTCAATGATGATTGATTACTCCTTCACAGTCTCATAACTGCACTCATTACTTCTTTCATAGTCATTCTATGTCTGAGGACAACATCAGACCTGCCTTTTTTACAAGTTAGCATAATGATATTGTAAGATAACCACTTACTAAGCATCTATTAATGGAATTTAAACAGTTGCTAATGTCTTCCCAACATATAATCCAGGTTATCGCCATTATAATAAACTTTATTGAAACATATGTGCACAGGTTTGTGGTCTGTGGTCTTTCAAAATCAGTAATTAGCTCCCTAGCTCTTAAGGCAGGTCATAAGGTCACTGGTGAGACTGAGCCATAGGGACGGCAGCATTACATCCTCTGTCATCTTAGGACAGCAGAGTCTGATAGTGAGTTTTTAAACATTCACCTGGAAGCAAGTGGTAATCACAACAGGGGATCCCACAGCCACTTTTTAACAGCTTAATTAGATGTGCTGCAGTTAAGAAAAGTTAATCAGAGGAGAGGAAACTTCTGCTTTTACTTCCCTGATGTTCAAAGACAGAGACAGCTGAACACACACACACACACACACACACACACAGAGACACACACACACACACACACACACATAAAGTTATGTGGCACAAACCAGCAAAGTGCAGAGAATGCTCCATACTTTTCTACCTGCTCACTTCCTCCTGTTTTCATCTCTTTACACCCATACAGACTCACTCTCTCTTTTACCCACATACACACTTAAACATTACCACCACTGCCCTGTACTGACTCAACACACAGCTGTTCCATGTCGTTGAGTCAGTGACTCTGACAGTAATTACCTGCCTAGTGGAGGTGGAGCTAGTGTATCCTGAGAGCTAGAAAATAGCGATCTAAAAGAATGGTGCAGGATGGGGGCAAGCAGCACTTACTGGGACACTTTACACGGCCCCCTAACAATTGTACCACCCAATTGTCTGCTGCTTAATAGAGAGCTGCAGGAAAGAGACCTCAAACCCGGAAATAAGGTAGCATTTTTGCACTTCTGGTCGCCACACCCCAAAGTTGATTGGCTTTTTTGAATGGTTTTTTTGGTTCAATGCTTGAGATTAGGTTGCGGTTAACACAAGCTCGAGACATTTTCACATTTTATCATACGATGCAACTACATCAGTAAATACCCCACTTATTGTAGTGTTTACATGCTTTACACAAGGGCCGGTTGCTAACAAGTGGCTAAATGAGACTCATGAGAACAGCAGTTTGAGCTAAGTCAGCTGTGGGATGCTGTGCGAATATTTATCTATATTTTCTTCCTCATTCTCTGAGAAATTGTGAGTAATTGAAAAGCTGGTAGTTCCTCCAAACATGGAGAAATCATTTAAAGCCTTAAATGTTTTACATCTACCCTCACCTAAATGAGCAAGCAAACTTTCAGTGTCCTCTCCCAGCTGTTAATGAAATTGAACTTGAAAGTTTCCGGTTATTAACTGCCTCTGTAACCACTAGGTTATTTCTGGGACACCTCAATTTATTTAAATAAGCCCGGGTCTGAACATGGAAGAATATCTCGCTTTGTGAACACTGAAAAAGTTTAATCTATTTTAAAGGCCACCAGTAAACGTGTAAGACCTTTTCTATGACTACAAATCAGATCAGGTTAAAGACTTGCCTACTCTCACTTTTGTTCATTTATCATATGCTCTTTCCAGGTCTGACCTGCCTGCCTGGGATTTGGATGACGTCAAAGGGAATCACATAGCAGTGAACCTGGCACTTCCCATATATTTGCTCCTGGCCAGGCCATCAGACCCAATTTGTCCTGTCAAGCTCCACTGCCTCCAGTCTGCCCCATCTTGTGCTCCAAATCCAACGTTAATTTCTTCCACCTCGACCAGCTCAAGGACAGCAGTTCATTCTCTGGGGCTTGACAAACCACTTGTGCTAGGTACACTACCACTGCAATCCCCTTGTGTTACAACAGAGATCCTGCCCAGGCAGCTGAATGTTTGTTGCTACTCGATATATAGCCTGCTCTTATACAGTGGTGCTCAACCTGTAGTTATGGGAACTGAAATGAGGAAGGATGTCTGTGGTTATTATTGTGTGTCTGTGAGTGGTATGGTGATGTGTTAGGGTTAAATACAGCTCAGGGCATGATGTAATATTACCATTAGGTCTAAAATAAGGAATTTTAACAGTAGGTGTTGAGTATTGAATAAAAATGCAGAGTAAAAGCATGTAGTGGAAAAATACTTGCAGATTTTCAGACACCAAATCTGACGCAAAAAGTAATATTTGTGTTGTTTTTGACAAATAAGAAATATATAGTAATAGGTTCCTACATTGTATATGGCCCCTTACTAGCTGCACCATGTCACACTAATATAGTATGGTTAATATTTGAATTAAAGAACAAAGACAGGCCATGATGCAGCTTTTAAACAAAGCAAATCATTGGAAAAAACGTATGCCTAAGTGCCTAAATGAACAGCAAACTCTTAAAAGCCTAAAGATGAGCTGAAACTAAGCAGAAAATGGATGGAATATGAGGGTGGCAGCTCACATGGACTAAACAGAGCAAAACATTACTGCTTTCCGACAATCCTCCAAGAGAAGCAGAATATGTTCATTATGAAAAAAGAAGATCACTAAGATGAGAGGCGAGAGTTCAGACCAAAAAGTTGTCTTTTAGAAATGCCTGTGTGTGCCTCAGCCCTGGGAAAGACTTGCTGTAACGCCGCCGCCGACCAATTAATTTTGATAAATGCGACTGCTGGTTTCAGACCGAGGAAAGAGGAAGATCGCACCAGCCACAGGACTTGTCGGCCAAAGAGCAGAGATAATAAAGGTGAACTTCACGGAGGGGATAACATGACGTGTGGACAACTCCGAAAAGTTGCATATGTCCAGGTATGTTCACAAACAGTAAATATATGAAACAGGCTTCAACTTGTGAACAAGTTGTCCAAATGCGTGGAGCTGCCCAGTGTGTGAGCGCCCTGTTAACGCTTCCTCGCTGTCTGTGGTGCTGAGGTTTCAGCAGGTTTCAGCACCGCGGACAGCGACAGTCTCGGCGCGCTAATTGGTGTGGCAGCGCTCTGGCTTTCCACAACTGTCTGATCCAGAAACATGAAACGATTCTGAGTTACCTTGAAGTTACAAGTCTGTCTCAGCAAAAACATACTGCTGGCCTGAGATACCTGATGCCACCTGTAATTGAAAGGCCATTCGCATCAAGGACAGAAATGCATGAAAGGCATTGGCAGCCCTCTTTTATTTGATTATTGCAGGTGTTAGGCTGTTAATCTACTCAAAGATCTTCAGACTACAGTGTGCTTTGTCAGTCTCCTCACAAAACAGAATGCAGACCACCTGGAAATTTACACCAAAAACTAAAATAGCTGCCATTAAGATTCGACTGTTTGAAAAATAATTAAAAGCAAACTTACGAGTGCCATCAAACCGTGTGGCTATAGTGTCCAGAAACGTGTTCTGCGGCGCTAATAATCCCTTCATCACAGGCATTTTCCCTGCTTAATGTCGAAGTCCCCATCAAAGTTACTGAAGAGAAGGCGCAAGTCGTCCAAATGTGTGAGGCGCTCCCACTGAAGGCGCTGAACCTATATGAACAAGCAGCTATCCGGTCAACTCAGCACAATGCGATCCCCAGGCGATGGGAGAGTGCACGGTGATGCGCGCACCCGTGTGTCTGGAGCTTGTGTTGCGTGTGTAAATGACAAGAGGAGATGAAGCCCACAGGTGCAGTTCAGGTAATAGTCAGGGACGACCGCGAGAGAGTGAGACTCCCTGTCAGCGATGCCATTATTATGCCGTTGAATTCAATGATCATCTCTCCTCAGCGCGCATTGGTGGGAGGCATCAATCACTCTCAACAACAATTGTGATCAAATGGGGGAGTTTGTCAGTGCGGGAACACAGTGGCATCACAAGTCAAAAACACAACTTTTATGTACACTTTTTCTACATAGCTTCTTGGAGAAACCAGCTTTCTTTCTCTTATCACCACATCCATAAATTGTCATTAGTTTATCTTTGTGCAGGCGCTCTGTATTCATTTGGGCTCAATTACCCAATAGAACAATAGCGCCCCACTAATAACTCAATCGATAGAAATCCAATTAAAAGCAGTGAAAATGACAGATTGATATCACTGTTATCACTGACCATGTCTCCTTATATATTGCACCATATAAATGCAGAAATAAGTCTATCAACAGTTTACATTAATGCATTTCGGATACCAGTGGCTTCGTAAAAAAAAAAAGTAGAAAAAAAGAAAGTTTGTCCAGGCATTATGCAAAAGAGACTAACTGACAGACAAAGAGGGAGGGAGGGTGAGAATGAGGGAGAGAGAAAGACACAGAGGTAATGAACAGCATTTCTTAATAAATAAATAAATAAATAGATAAATGAAAGTGAAACAAAATGCAATCATTGCACGACAGAGTAAGAGTAATTGCTCCCGGAGATGCATGGTTCATTTACATTGTTGTGTTGATTGTCTGACAGTCAACCTGTCCACGCTGCTGCTTCTCTCTCTCTCTCTCTCGCTCTCTCTCTCTCTCTCGCTCTCTCTCTCTCTCTCGCTCTCTCTCTCTCTCTCGCTCTCTCTCTCTCTCTCGCTCTCTCTCTCTCTCTCGCTCTCTCTCTCTCTCTCGCTCTCTCTCTCTCTCTCGCTCTCTCTCTCTCTCTCGCTCTCTCTCTCTCTCTCCCTCTCCCCCTCGGCTATCCTCTCAGCAGGCAAGCAGCTGGCGATGGCAACAGACATCACACGAGATTTTGGCGCCGCCTGATGGCAAAAGTAAGGCACGACCTGCATGTAAGTCATGATTTGGGTAAAAATGTTCAACAGACCAATCAGTGGCACGACAGCGCCCTCATGTGGACCGTACATCGAAACAAACAGTTCAAAAGCGACTTCAAATTCGTAAACCCACATTCACCCCATGCGTGAGTGGCACATACGTGTTCTCTAAACATGTATGCATTACAGGAACATTGTCTATCTATTGTGTATTCTTGAATATCAGCGTTGACTCAATTAAGATTGTGAAAATGATGGAAAGATTGCAAATGAACACTTCAAAATTCTGCCCCATGAAATCATAACTAATCATATAATCCTAATTTGCAAACCCAGGCTCTCTTCGGTAAATCCATAAATGGGATCGCATCCAAGGTTTTTCCATTACAAGCTTCATGATGCATTTACAACACACCTCTAGCAAACAACAACAAACCTGGAGTACATGCACACACACATGCAGGCAAAACATAACAGATGCAACTAAACTCCAATCTAGGTCAATCCTATTACTAAGAGTGGTACAGCATTAGACCAAACACCAAAAGTCAAGCACTGTGCCTCCCACTCCTCCACAAAAGTGAAGCAGTTGTTACAGCTGTTATGTCATTTGGACAAAGTGAAGTCATCAGGTGCTCTAAGGCTGACAAGAAACTGTATGTGTGTACATACACTCATAGAGACATATACAGGATGCACGTAAGGAGACACATGAATCCCTGAGGTGAGGCAGTGCGAAGTAGTTAAGCACAGAGAGATACTTCCATAAACATGTCAGCTAATAAAATTAAAACAGACAGCCAGCGCACAGTGATGCTTCACCTGAGTAATGAAGTGCTTAATGCATCATTTAAGCCTGATCACCGCTTCAAACACACAATTTGTGTGTATGGGTGTGCTTGCGTGTCATAGTTAAGTTCATAGTGAAGTGACAGTTGAGTCAAAGTGAGTCATTGTTGCTCAGGGTGTTACCTCACCAGAGGATGCATTAAATTCCACAAATTAGAGTCTTTTTACTCACATCACTCCATTTAATGTTCAGGAAGGAGTCATGCAATCATCAATCAGTTATTTATTTATGTCTGAGAGGCAAAAACAAAAGGCTTCATGTTTTTGAGATCTTATATTAAAACCACAATAACCTGGCAGTGACCTGGTGTGAAGACAATACAGGAAATATTTTAATGCCAGTAAAAGCAAATAAATACAATGTAGTTTAAAATCCTAATAGAATTTTAGAAACGGCATAAAAAATTAAGTAGACTTTGCAATAAATGTTGATGAAACTAACCAGGACAACATCATCATCATCATCATCATCATCATCATCATCATCATCATCATCATCATCATCATCATCATCAAAACAAATTAAGACTAAAATGCAGTAAACAATCAAACAACAAGAAGCTGAAGAATATAATTCAAATTTTAAAAACAAATCAAAATAATTAATAAATTCAAAACAGACTAAAGAAGGTGTTAATACAAGAAAGGAGATTGACTTTGTAACAACTACAAAGTCAAACTCAAAACTACACTACGTCCTTAAAAGCTATTAATGTTATTTGTAAATGCATTCTTAGACTCACGTGTAACCAGTTAGGAAGCTATAAGAGTGTAATGTGCTGTCATCTTCTAGAGTTAGTTAAAGGCTTTGGATCAGCTGGCATCAAACTGTCTTCTAGATAAAGTGAGTTGCTAAAGCCCAGCTAGAACAAGGTAGAGGGCTGGATGAAAAAGTCACAGTGCAGTTTGGTGCAGTCTGAATGTTGCCTTCAGCCATTTACTCTCTGGGTCTGATGTCTTTTTTGATTCAACCACTTGGGGTCGCCAGAGTTTAAAATGATTTGATCCTGCACAAAGCTGCTCCAACATGCAAAGATATGTTTAAATATGAAGGAAATTCATGAGCACATTTCATACCCTGTAATAAATTTCATCAAATAAGTTTGAACAATAGTGCACAACTGGAAGAATTGTGTAGGTAAAAACCTACAGGCTATGTGCATTTTGTTTTGGATGAGGTTTATGTCTCTCTGTGTTCTTTGGTTTCATTATAGACAGTCTTAGTTAAACTCTAATCAGTCTTTTGCCTGTATAACATACAGTCATTTATGCTTTAAAACTCCCTTGCTTCGTTGCAAAGGCTACACTGTGCCAACATTTTAACTTTATGATTTTTATGATGCCCTCTGGAGCTATAGAGGAAATGGGCATGGCTGTTAAAAGATACGGTATAAATTCATTTTACATACATATTTTGACAAATCAAATAGTCCATATTGTATGTGCAGTATGAACACAGCCGTAGTCACAATCACTCACAAACCACACCGCACAAGCCCTTCTAATACAAGAGGATATAGAAATGTAACATGACATAGAAGGCCCATATTCCCTCTTCTAACCCCAGTGCATCCACTTTTGTCCTTTACTCCTTTATTAATCCATTTGTTATTTGTATCTCCCCACAAAACAAAACTCATCCATTTTTAAATCTAGTGACTAAAGGTACCACCTGAGCTCACAGTCTTATCTGAAATCTGGAGGTCCCTGCATTCAAACTTGAACCTCTATTGTCAAAGACTTTCTGACTTTTATCCATGCATCAAAAGCACCTTAACCCAAGGGTATGTTTTTCCCAATCACTATTTGATACGTGCACCGGTACGTTAACAGGCCAATGAGCCTGTACACACCCCAGATCAGGAGAAACCTGAGGAGAAACAGCTGCCTTCAAGCTTGGTCCTGGCACACTGTCAGTGATAAGATTATTGTATGGATATCTAATATGTTTGCAGAGAGAGGTTTGTGGATTAGAATGTGTCAGATTAGAAGTATGACAAGGACAGTGGTGGAAAAAGTAATCCTTAAGCAAGACTTGTCAGGCAGAAAATTAACCTGTGTAACTGATATGTGACAGTACATCTGACTATCATATGTGACATTACTAGATTGTAAGTAATGATGCATTGAGGTTGTGCCACTGTGGTTGGTAGAGGTGGAGCTAGTTCTAGCGAGCCAGATAGGTTTTTCTATGTAAAGTAACCATAGCTGCCAAATAAATGTAGTAGAGCAAAAGGTACAGTGTAGTTCAGTATAGGCACAGTATAAAGTAGTATAAAATCTAAATTCTCAACTAGAGTACAAGTATCTCAGAATTATACTAAAGTATAGTACTTGAGTAAATGTAGGTTACTTAGTGAATTTCCACATCTTGATAAAGAAATGAAAATGTACATTTTCAAATGACAGATCATTCGGGGTAAGGTGGTGAATGGTGAGTGTGTTGAGGTAAGGTGTCCACCTGTCAGTCTGCACAAACACATACATGCATTTGTGAGTGCCTCTCGTGTGTTTTGCGTTACATATTGTGCATCAGATTGTGAGCTTTAGTGTGTATCTGCAAACCAACTTCAGATCAGGGAGTATTCATGAGCAAGAGAAACAGAGATGTGCAATACTGAGTGTTGGCAATCCATTTCCCCTTTAACACGCCAACATGATGCCTCCACCCATCTAACGGCAGCAGGCTCACTAACCATATCATGAGTTTATAATAACCACATCACATCCATGGCGAATGAGGTGGAATGAAAATCTAACCTAATTTGGAGAGATACACGACTGTGTGAGTACTAGGGTGTCCCCTGAGATGAGGCTCCGATTGAGAGAGCCGTGTGCTGCACTGGTAGCATGCTCTGTGAGCGTGTAATGGTCTTAATTATCATTTAGCATGCCAGCCTCATTGACGACGTATCAAGCCAGTGATAAAATAGTAGAGCAGAGGGTGACAGAGAGAGAGAAATATGAGCATATAAACACTTAAAGGCGCACACGCAGAACTGTAGTAGTTATCACTAAAATACACACACAAAACAGTGAACTTATGGGGGGATGATGCAAACACACACACACATGCACACACACATTTCCACCCAGCTGAGTGACATCTCTCTCTCTGAATTAGTCACGATGAATGATGTGTAACCAGCCATGACTCGCTCTGGCTGGGGAGATAGCTAATTCACTTTGTTTAATTAGTCAAAAGTAGTAGAGCATGCTCTCTCTCCCCAAACATACACTCCCATTGCACAACATCCACCCAGCTACGTGGCTTTAGAAAAGACAGACCTGTAACCACACCGGTGTAACATTTCATGAGGCAAGTCTTTGAATCTTATCTGCCAGAATGAAGGATCTCTGACTCTTCCTCTCTCTTTCTCTTACAGACACACAAGACACACACACACCTGTCACCCTTTGCTTTGTGAAACCTTCACAGAGATTTCATGCACCATTTGGGGATCACAGCTCCAGAGGTGAAGTGCATCTTACCTGCATTGGAGTGCATGGGGGAGGTCTGCTGATAGTAGGCTGCCACTTCGGATTTCTTTGAACAGGACAGAGGACAAGCTGTTGTCTATGTGAACTGATTCAGCTGTGTCAAAATGTTGAGGTACAGTGATGACTTTTTTTTTCCTTTCATGTCTTTTTTTGAGCTTTAGTTGATATATTACAATGTGATTTTGTGAGCAATGTCTTGGCTAAATGATTATAACAATAATACAATAATACAATAGTGTACTGTAGTATAGTATAATATAATATAGTATAGTATAGTACATTATAGTATAGTATAGTATAGTATAGTATACAGAAAGGGCTGCTGTAATACTAGTTTTCTACATACCATACTATACTATACTATGTTACCATGATCTTGTGACAATAAAACATCAACGTTCAAAAGTTAATATCAGTCAGCCAGTTCCACCTTGTCCTGCCCCACTTTGTTACCATGGAGAGCTCCAATACCCTAAAGACAATAATAAGTGCGTGCACAGCATGCGGCAGAAAATAATAAATAGATTTATGCGCAATTGTCACATTTAATACATTTACGGAGCGCGCTAGTGAATTCATTATTACACCATATGCTAATGCAGCTGGGTCCGTGTATTTATGAGTCTCTCTGTGTGTGTGTGTGTGTGTGTGTGTGTGTGGGGGGGGGGGGGGCTCTCGCTCTCTCTCGCTCTCTCTCGCTCTCTACCTCTCTACCTCTCTGTCTCTCTGTCTCTCCGCGTGCGCACAGGGCTTTGAAGTGTAACCAACAACTGCTGTCCCGGCGTCAGTGCTGGAGCCTAATATATGACAGGGAATGTACTCCAGGAGGTCCAAGCCGTGCATTGTTCTCTCGAGAGCTTGATCCACAGCAGCAGCATGTCCCTGCGCTCTGGATGGGAGGTCGCTCTGAACTTGCACTGAGGCCAATTTATCGTTACACCGACAGCAAAGCGCGGCTGGTGAACGGTATAACAAGGAAGAATAGGGGCAAACTACTTGGACAGTAAACACGAGATAATGTGGTTGTTAAACAGACGATTAATGTAAGTAAAAGGGACGCATAGGAGCGTACAGTTGGACACATACCGACAGCCGAGAGAAGCGTGTCTGTTCCTCAACCGGGGATGAATGGAAGCGAGGATAACGTATGGATACAGTCGATGTGCACAGGAGCGGGCTGTTGATGTGTGATGGCAGGTCGGGGATGCACGTTGTGTCGGCTGAAACAGGTTGGTTTCGCCTCGATCAAACTTCAGCAGCATCGGACGTGGGACCATTAGCGCGCATTTAGGTGCTGAAGATGAACTGAATCACTGTCACTTGCAGCGGTGCGCCTGGAGATGACAGCAGGTTTATTATGAAAAACTGCGCTGTAGCATTCACGGGACTTTTACTGGATTTAGAGGGTTATTCTAATCGCTGCATCTGTGTGAAGGTCACCCCCTAATACTGATCCGGATATCCTTCAGATCGGAGTGTGTGTGTGTGTGTACGTGCGTGTTAAAACTGTGCTTTCTAATTTTCTTGTTAGACACAGACCTGTAAATGACTGAAACAGGTCTCTTTAGCACTCTTGACACTCACCAGGTATCCTGATATACTTCTTGGTGTACTTTGTTTGCTATTATTTCTTTACTGTTTGGAAATTATGGATGCATGTAACCTATTCTGTCCAGATGAAAACATAAAGTTACTTTGAAATATATGTAATAATCAATTAGCTTAAAACAAAGGGGTCACCATTAACTCACTGCTTCCCACCCCACAGAAACTATCAAGATCATATAAGAGATTTTTATTGGAGTACCTTGCACAGTCTTTGATTTTTAACTGTCTATGTCTTTGTACTAGTGTGAGACCACAGATGGACGCCTTGTGTAATGGAGCCATGAAACCTGAGGGCAGTGATCCCATTGTAGACCCCAGGCCCCCTCCTGCCAAGCTGGCACGACTGGAACAAAACGGAGCGGGACCCTCTGCCCAGGAGAGGAGCAGGCAGGGGAGTCCTGTGGCCAAAAACCCCTGCCTGGCCCAGAAGCCCACTGCAGTGAGACCACAGGGCAAAAGCTGGCACAGCAGAGGTACGTGGGCTGATGTGGGGAAGCGGCCGGATGCAAAGGAGGACCCCATGGGTTTGTGTGCGTCTAAAAGATTTATTTTGTTACACTGCTACACAGATTGGGTCTTTAATACAGTGGTTATGACTCCTATGTGTCATCTGACGTATGAAATAACTGTCTTGGGTTCACTGTAAATGACATGTTTGGAGATTCAATTATATGACTCAATAATGAGATTAATCATTACTTTACTTTTTCCGTGCTAACTATGACTACATTCTCAAATGTCATGCTGCATGAAATAATTTGTGTCTATAATACCTCAGGGAGCCTGCTGCCAGTGTTCTGCGTAGTGGAGCACAGGGAAAACCTACTGGAGGGAGAGAGGAGAGAGGAGCATGCTGAGTTTGTGTTGGTCAAGAGAGATCTGCTGTTTAACCAGCTGATAGAAATGGCCCTGCTGACACTGGGCTACTCCCACAGCTCTGCTGCACAGGCCAAAGGTACACAGCACACACATGCACAGAGAGGCAGGGACACTAGTAAGTCCATCTTTACGTATTCTCATAATTTTCACCTGTGTGTGTTTGTGCAGGTCTGATCCAGGTTGGCAGGTGGAACCCGGTACCTCTGTCCTGTGTCACAGATGCTCCTGACGCCACAGTGGCTGATATGCTGCAGGATGTTCACCATGTAATCACCCTTAAAATACAGCTGCACAGGTAGAGAGCAGACATCTGTTACATCTATACATGTATACAGTGAAAAGTCAGGCTCTGAGTGTGAGCCTGGGTTTGACTTGAGACTTGTTTAGTATTTCCCAGCTATTCACCCAAAGCTTCTGGAGAAGACTCTTGCCACCCGCCATCCCTAATTTGAATAAAAATAAAATAAAATAACCAAAGGGCACAGACCAAATCAGACCCATACAAAATCGGATTTCATAGACATTCTCCAGCAGAGAGTGATAAAATTCTTCATCATCATCATCGGCATCATCATCATCATTTTCTTCACTTCATTAAATTAAATTTAATGAGTACCTACTTTTATTTGCTTGTTGGAATGAATATTGATGAGCATTTTAATAGTGGAAGACATTAAAAGTTTCTTTGTACTTGTTATATTTTTTTAAATGATCAGCATCTCTTCTGACTTTTTTTGACAGTGGCTCTATAGCTGTGTCGCATATAGGGACTTGCCCCCATATCCCCCACAGGAGTTGGGACAGTATAGGACACTCATTCTTACACCTTTTTCCCAGAGGACGTATAGACTTGGCATGTGTATCATGACATGTGTGACCTCGAGCTGTTATGCACAAAACCAGGACCCTGAAACTGAAGCAGCTGAGTGGAAATCAGCCATTTTATTATTTACTCATGCACTTCCTGTGCAGTTTAAAATGCCTTCTGTGAAAAAGGCCTGTTGTCTCAAGGAAAAGAAGAACCTGGGATCATGTGTGTTTTCCCTGCATTCACATGAGTTTCTTTAAAGTCTTCCACCCAGTGTGTCTGTTCCTTAAATGCATGACAACTGTGTGATCTCGTATTTAGACAGGAAGTCCACACTATGGGTGTGAAAGAAAATGAGTTTGAGCTTATTTACCCAGCATGTACTGGGGACATGCTAGAAGAATTTTTTGAGAGTCATCCTCTTTTTAAAGGGATATTCCAACCTGTTGTATAATGTCTACTATGGCTCTGAAGAGAGCTTTCTATATTACATTTCTACATTATTGGATCCAGAATTTTGGAGCTTGAACCACAGCGAGCACTAGAAGTAAACTTAAAGATTGTGAGTGTCCCAAGTTTTTAAAGTAATTTTTTGGACATTTTTGCCTTTATTGTGATAGTTACAATGTGAGAGAGACAGAAAAGTCAGATAGAGACAGAGAGAGAGAGGGGATGACATGCAGCAAAGAGCCGCGGGTGGGACTTGAACCGTGGCTAAGACCGAGCCTACCACCGAGTTTCCCAGTACTTTATAGAAGTGCAGTACCAAATTGCTGGAATACCCCTTTAAACTGTAATATACTGAAATGCTGCTATTCAAGTCTTTGTACTTTGTTCTTTTTCTAGCTGCCCCAAATTGGAAGACTTGCCTGCCGAGCAGTGGAGTCACTCCACAGTGAGAAATGCTCTGAAGGAGCTCCTCAAGGACATGAACCAGAGCTCCCTGGCCAAGGAGTGCCCTCTGTCCCAGGTATAAGACACACACATACATAAACACACACACACACACACACACACACACACACACACACACACACACACACACACACGCATACAACAAGAGGGTAGACGGGAAATAGGACTGAAATTCAAAGTGTGCATGTAATGTCTTTGCCCTTCCATGTCCTGCACAAGTGTGTGTGTGTGTGTGTGTGTGTGTGTGTGTGTGTGTGTGTGTGTTTGTGCCTACTTTGATGCATGACACAGAGTAAGCGTGTGGTCCAATCGTTAGACAGGAAGTCCAGATGCAGAGGTAGATAAGGTGTGGGGGCAGAGCGCAGGAGAGAGAAACAGATAACGAGAGATGGCTATCTCTTAAAAAGCCACGCGGCCTTGGCTGCTGCCTATCTTGATTTTGCCGACTGCCAACCTGTCTGCCTGTCACCCTATCTGTCCGTCAGCCTCACCCGGTGTCTTACTCTCACTCAGTCTATCTATCCATCACACTTACTCTTTGGTATTTAGCTATTTTTTTAGGCAGCCTTTACTGATTCAGCAACAGCATTCCGATCTGGCTTTACGATCTCCTTCAATTCTTGTGTGTTTAATTTAAGCAAATACAGACACAACTGCAGAAATAATTTTACATTAATCTTGAAGTATTTGGGGAAGGGCCTTTTTATGAATATTCATGGCTATCAACTTAGTCTATCTGTTATTTTGCCTGAGGGTGCTGAGGACATCTACAGTTTGATAAAGAGAAATTGCTCACTATCTCTCTCTTCTTCAGATTCTTTCCTTCTTTGCAGTGTTAAGATCTGATATCAGCCAATCCTCCCTCCCCCATCTTTCCTCCCCCATCTCTCTCTCTCTCCCCCTCTCCTATCACTCCCTTTACCCCCTCTCTTGTTTGCGAGAAGCAGATTAAAATAAATATGAGAAGATGAAAGGTGTAATCAGATGTAAAGATTGCACAGGACGGTCTTCGGGGAAAAACTGTGTGTGTTTCTGTGTGTGTATGTGTGTGTGAATAAGAGACAGAGGCATAGTCTCTGATGACCTCTAGTGTTTCGTTTGATTACGCACACATGCATGCATGCAAGCATACACAGGCTGTACATTTACGCGCATACACACACACACAAACAGCTCACACACTGACACACTCATCTGTCTTTATTATCCTATTTACCTGGGGGTCTTTTTAATAACACAGATCTGAGTTCATTAATATCAGATGTGTGAACAGCTGAGACACCCAGGCCGCCCATAGCAGGAGCTCGGAAAATGTAATGAATTTCTATTGTCTATTCCCCTCTGTTTCAGAGTATGATATCATCTATTGTAAATAGCACTTACTATGCAAATGTCTCAGCTGCCAAGTGTCACGAGTTTGGTCGATGGTACAAGCACTTCAAGAAGACCAAATGCTTCAAGGGTGAGGGATTTCAATAAAGCCTGCAAACATTAAGTGTGCTTGATAAGTTGTGTAGTATGTCCCAAGCCCATACTCCATACTAATTCTACACAGTATACACTACATACTAATACTATGCTGTTTTAATAGGCTGAAAAATCAACACTTTACTATTATCCATTGACAAGACTACAGTTTGGAATTTAAAAAAATGAAAGAAAAAGCAAAATCCCTCTCTTAAGATGCAATGTTTTATTTTACAAAATGTTTTAATTAATTAGTTAAATGTATTTTGTATGCATCCTGTCTGGTTTGAACATATTTAATTTTGCCATTTTTCCCGTGTGAACACATGACACACTTAAAACCTGCTCAGAATTAGTAAGTAGTATGGATGGCACACTGTTGGTGTTTAATGTGTTAATAATTCTACATCTGTCTTTGCTTTTCTTTGCCCTCGCCAGAGATTGACTGCATTTCCGAGCAGTCAGCACATATTACCCTCACCCAGCAGCCAATCACAGGAAGCCCCGTTGAGCAGAGCTCGACCCTTCTTTTCCCTCGCGGAGGAGTAGCCAACATATGTGGTCGCTCACCCCTTGGCCTGCGGCCTCCCGGGCTGGTAACTCAGCCTCTCAGTTCCCAAATGGTTAACCAGCAGCTGGTCATGGCCCAGTTTCTCAACCAGCAGTATGCTGTTAGCCGCATGCTTGCTGGCCAGGGTCTCTCACCGTCCCCACAGCAGTATCTCAACCACCCCCCTGTAGCAAGGGCTCCTGCCAAGGTCTTCTCCAAAGCCTCTGATTCCCAAGCCCCACAGCAGGCACAGTGTGGCCCAGGGGGAGGCCCTGCAGCCGGGCCGCCAAGCCAGACATCAGCTGGGTCGTCTGTGGGGCCGTGTGACGTGCCAAATGACATTTACCAGTGTGTGAGGGAGGAACTGAAGAGAGCAGGCATCTCTCAAGCCATCTTTGCCCGGGTGGCCTTTAACAGGACCCAGGTATGGAGGGAAGGGGGGGGGGGCAACCAGTGACTATGATCTGAATGAAAGGTGTTGAAATTCATCAGAGGTCACGACTGTTGTCTGGTGATTATCTGTTTGAAGTGTTTTCTGGTGTTGCGCTGATAGGTAAGTGTCTTCTGTGAATGTGTGTGTTTGGTGGTTAGTACATTGGCATGGCCTTTGCCGCAGTGCCCCCCACCTACACCCTCCCGTGCATGTGTGTGTGTGTGTGTGTGTGTGTGTATGTGTGTGTGTGTGTTCATGCCAGCTCTCTGCAGTACAAAAGCTGGTGCCAGCAGTGAAGCAGCTGCTGGGCCAACTAATCACAACCCCTTGGAGAAATTCTGTCTCCCTCTCTACCTCTTCCTCTATCTCACTGTCTCTCCATCTTTCCACCTTTCACTCTGGTAGCCCTTCTTTTCGTTTAAAGTCTACCTCTTATTGTTAATTCATCTTTTTTTTTTATCTTTCCCTTCCTCTGCCTACTGGTCTCCTCATTTCTTACCCACATCTCTCTCCACCATCGCCTTTAACACTAAAATGCTATGTTATCTATGTTTCATCACCATATATTCACCACCACACCCACAGAAATAGAGCTCAAAGGACAGGCTAGACCCATTGTTATTATTATTATTACTGTCATTATCATTTTCATCACAATAAGCCGAGCTAGTTATTATCCACCCCCATGTTTCCCCGTTGCCAAATCCAAGGTGCTCCGGTGCCAGCCGTAAAGTTGGGCATGATGCCAAGATGCCATCTAGAAGTGAGGGACGCATTTGTCACTTGGCGCTTCACGTAAAGCCTCCATCCATTTGAAAGGCGGAGTTTGCTGGGTAGATTTAAAGATGATCCAGGATTTGAATAAGAAGGCTGCTTCCTCTCATGTCATTTCACTGCCAGCATGATTTCTTCTCAGGAAGGAAGCCCTACAATCTGCATGTGACGTTTGAAGGCTTTCCTGCATAGACAGATACACACAGAATAATGCTAGCTCTACAGGCAAGTCACATGCTTAGCACTGACTGGGAACTGGCTCTATATCATCTATAGCTGTGAAACACTAAACTGCAGGGGACTGTTTGAAAGTGATCCAGAGTTGGATATAAGGAGCTTTTGCAAAATTCCTTCAAGTGAATAAGAAACTTTATGTTTGCAATGTGTTGATATCATGATACGCTTGAAGCCAATATACGGCAATATGTCTGAATAAATTTGACACTACACGCATGTATCATTATGTATCCATACACATGCGTGTGCTTGCTTGTACTAATCAGTGAGTGTTCATTTGTTTGTGTTTGTGCATGCCTTTACTAGGGCCTGCTGTCAGAGATCCTGCGGAAGGAGGAGGACCCCAAACACGCCTCCCAGTCTCTGCTGGTCAACCTACGGGCCATGTACAGCTTCCTGCAGTTCCCCGAGGCGGAGAGGGAGCGCATCTACCAGGAGGAGAAAGAGAGAAGCCTGACTGGATTCACACCAAGCTGCAGCAACACGCCACCGAGATCCACGCAGGTCAGCCAGTAGAAAGACCGAGAGACAGAGTCATAAAATCAAAAATCAGTGTCAGACACTTGCTCTGAAATGTGTTTGTCCTTGGTGAAATATTGAAGTGGGAGTACTGTTGCCGAGCTGAAGTTTTACTCAAGGAGAATTCAAATGACTGCTGTAAAACTAGGTCTCAGCAAAAGTTAAACATAGCAGATTTTAAATATGTTCTGCTATAAAGAACAATCTTTCACATATATTGTATGAATGGTGAGAGAACACAGAAATGACTTGGTTATTTTAATAGAGACGTGTAAAAAGTGACAGAAATAATGAACAACAAAACATAAATCTTCATTTTTGGGGGCTGTGAAGTTGTGAAGCTTACTCATGTTAGAGATCCCCTGAGCCTCCCTGGATTTACAAGAAGTGTAATACGTTTTGACCAAATAACTGCAAAACTAATGACATTCCCATCAGCCTCAGCTGTACTTGGTGTTTAGTGCTAATTAGAAAATGTTAGCATGATTTTTATTCACTCTGCTTCCAGTTTGGTTTGGCTAAATACAGGCACCTTTAGGGCTGCATAAAGGACATGATCCCTCCCTATGTTTGACGGAGTGCCGGGCCAAGCCAGGCTTGCCTGTGCTCTGTTTCAGATTCTTCTCACTCAAGGAATGCTGCAAACGCTCATTGCTCTATGTTTACTGTAGCTTGCATCTTAACCCAATCTCTTTGTCTTCCTGTCTTCCCATCTGTCTCTTTTAAGGCGAGACTATCCCCAGTCACAGCAGACAGAGGTTTGAGGACAGACAGTTGTGTTCTCAATGTCAGCTCTTCTATCTATGAGGAGATCCAGCATGAGATGAAGAGAGCCAAGGTGTCTCAGGCCTTGTTTGCAAAGGTGGCCGCCTCCAAGAGTCAGGTACTCGCTTGCTTGCTTGCTGGTGTGAATCTGATGAAGATGTCCAATTTTAAACACACACATATTGCACCCAATCGTTTCTATTGCTTGATTGCTCAAATTTAAGCGTCCATGATGAATCCATCTACTCAGTTAAAGCAGGGATGACTAGTGTGTGTGGAGGAAAGCCCAGATAATCAACCAGCAGCTGTACTCTGCAGAGGACTATCATCAGTGCATCAGACTGCTATTGTGTCCTAAATTATCGCTTTAATAGTCGCCATACACACATGCACACATACACACCACTTATTTGTGCGCACAGACATACTGTACGAACACACAGAATCACACAAACTCACACAGCCCCACAAATGCACTAATGCACATACACACAAGCATGATTTGAGTGTTTATTGTTCTCATTTTTATAGCGGCCCCATAAGCTTGTTATTGCCTTTTGTTTTGAGGATAATTTCCCTTCATGGAATGGGGGGATTTTAGCTGTCTCATTTTCTCTTCCTGTCGTGCATGTCTCCAATTTTCAGTTTTCTTTCTTTCTTTCTTTCTTTCTTTCTTTCTTTCTTTCTTTCTTTCTTTCTTCCTTTTTATTTTATTTCTTTCTTTCTTTTTCCCTGTAACCTCCCTGTCTCTCTACTCATCAAGATGTTTAGAGGTCATTCTGCGGTCATGCCAGTACGGACAGGTGGTCCAAAACCTCTCAGGTTCTTTTTCTATCTCTTTCGCTGGCCTCCATTTTACCTTACTTTCTCTATGTCCTCTTTACCCCTCTCCCTCTCTCTCTCTCTCTCTCTCTCTGTCTCTCTCTCTCTATCCCTCTCTCTCTCTGTATTACCCGGTTGTTTGGCAGGCAGAGCCATGCTGGATCTCTGTGTTCTATCTGCACTGTGCATCTGGATGGCATTGTGTGCTAGAGTTGGGCTACAGCCAGGTGTGTGTGTGTGCGTGCGTGTGTGTGTGTGTGTGTGTGCATGTGTGTGTGTATCAGCCTGCTTGCAAACGTAATCATGCTCTAGTTCTTCTAGTTGAATCTGAGACTAGCTTGGCTTCACGTTCCTCAATCTGCCACTCGAAAGTTTCTTCCCTCGTGATGCAGTAAAAGAAAATTTCACCCTGATCTTCCAGCTTTGCCATTAGAGCAAATTTGAACATAGCAAACAAGAAACAGACAGGATATTTTACCATATCAACCTATTCTGAATAAATGTGATAACTGTGAAAAGTAAATTGTTGCGGTTTATAGGTTTATAGACCAAGAGAAAGCTGAACAAACTCATTTATTGTCAACTTTGCAGTTATCATCACTTCCATCTGCTTAAATGATATTCTAATTACTCACAAAGTTAATAAGAGAGTGGGTGTACAGGGGTGATGTTATTCAAAACTCATCATATACATTTCCATGATGTTGCCATGGCAATTTTGAGGTCTCAACACTATTTTAGCCCTTCGCCACCTGACATCAAGAGATTTGAGATCAAATGATTTGAGGATACATTTTTCTTTTTGTCTACTCACTTAGTGCCACACAAACTTACTGTGTGCGTGCAGTTTGAAGGTGTGCTGCATAGTGAGGTTAGCTTTGCTTAGCTTTATTATCAGTTGCAGGATCAAGCGACGGATAGCAAGATCAAGATAGTGAGATATTGATATCCAAGTTATATAAGATGAGCTTGCTGATGTAGAAACATTCACTAATTACTGAAGTAATTAACAGAATTATTGACTTGATTAGAATGGCAATGTTTATTATATTATGGCAGGACATTAGGCAGCTGAACAGCTTTGTTGTTATATTATAGATGATCACCAAATAGATTCTTTTTTCAGGACTCAGAAATATAAACGTGTGCCGGCAAACAATCTTGACCTCTTGGTGAAGCAGTGTGCTCATCATTGCACAGCCGGTCAGCTCACGTGTGTGTGTGTGTGTGTGTGTGTGTGTGTGTGTGTGTGTCTCCTCTAGGGCTGGCTGTGTGAGCTGCTGCGCTGGAAGGAGGATCCCAGTCCAGAGAACCGGACCCTGTGGGAGAACTTGTGCATGATCCGCCGCTTCCTCAGCCTGTCCCAGAGTGAGCGAGATGCCATCTATGAACAGGAGAGCAGCAGCACAGCGGCTCAGCAGCATTGCGCTGACAGGCTCACACTGCTCAGCAACGACAATACACTGGTGAGACTACAGAAATAAGATAATCATTACACACAGACTGCTGTTCTGAACTGTCAGTCTGTGGTAGATGTTGCTTGAGGAAAAAAGTCACAGTTGCACAGGGTTTTTTATTTTATTTTACATTACCAGCTTTATATTTATATAACTGTTTGTAATGAAGTGGAAAAAATTTGGAAAAAAATGCGCAGTAAATGCTAGCAGATAAAAAACTCTACACAACATTTTTTTGAAGGAATGGCTGTCCTTATCACTAAGCCTTAAAGTGACCTGACTTTCTTCTTTGTTAAGCCCTTGAAATGTGATTTTGAGTGTTGAGTGTGCAATGAAAAAGAAGCACAGTAATGACAGCTAAATGCCAAAGATGTCAGAAAAAAAAGATGATTACCACATGAGGCAATGATCCGTGAGGCTGATTAGTTATTTTTCTTCCACTTCCATAGCTATTGAATGGATTGATGGCTTGATTATAGCACCGACTCACAGCTAACATATGAAGAAAATGGTTGTGTATCTCTCTGTTTGAGAAAGTACAATATGTTGTATGGAATACCAGCACTGGTTCAGACCCGATCAGTTCTGTGGACGTTAGTCCTGGATGGTTGCACTGCAGTCCAACTCATTTGTGGTGGCAGATTCAGATCACATAAAATCTACACTACCTTTGATTTCTCTCCAAATCAGACCAGCATGTCCTGTGCCATGTCCTCATCTTGCTACCCAGCCAATATCTACACACTGTGGATTCTGGTGGATGCGGTTAAAAACCCCACTGACACAGCAGGTGTTGATTTTCGAAAACTACCATGTTACCCTATCAATAAAAGGGTGACATGATTTAATCACTCTGCAAAAAAAGTAATTTAAACTGAGGTCAAATGAAGGACAGAATTTATATGTTGAGATCATTTAGAGCTCTCATGAGAAACATGACCACACATTTGGGGTTAAACATAACCAGCCAATACCAAAAAGCCAAGTATGTTTAGTTACATTCAATATATGAAGGCTAGTTGAATACCAGTGATACATGTGTAATTTAGGGCTGGAAGTTTGCTGCCAGTGCTCTTTAACATCTAAAATGAAAGCAGTGCATTTCTTTAAGCAATAACTTCATTTTTTAAAGCTCCACATCACCTACCATTAAAGTGAAACAGTAATATCCATAGTAACACAATGTAAATGAGTTGGTGTTGAAAATCTAAATTCCAAAAGACCGAGTGTGGTTTTTTACTCTTCTAATTTCTCTTTTGTCTCCTCAGTACCAACGCAACTCCCCTCTGCCGCAGCAACACCATCTTCAACCCCACCAACCCTTGCAGCCTGAGGCAGGACCTCACCTGTCTCCACGGCAACCGTGTGCTGCATCGCCAGCCGAGTCAGAGGTTGGGGTGAACTGGGGGCACTTGAGAGTACGTTTGCAGAGCAGGGGCAGTAGCAATGGTGAGAGAGGGGACAGTAAAGACTGGGTTGAGGGAGGACAAGGAGAGAGGGGCAGTGCGGGAGGGGACTGGGGTTGCACTGGAAGGGTGAGGGATAAGGGTACAGAAAGCAATGAGCAGGCGAGGGATGGAAATGTGTGTGAGGAAGGCATAAATGAGATCAGTGGAGACAGCAAAGAGGGCAAGGTTAAGGAGGAGCTGTCTGTGAAGTGGCCCAGTGTGAAGAATGAGAGCCGAGATAGGGCTGGGATTTGTTCAGAGGCAGATAGTCATGAGGTTGAAGGTGGAGATGAGGCACAAGGTGAGGGGTTGAGAGTGTCCCACGAAGCCCTGGGAATCCTGCAGAGCTTCATCCAGGATGTAGGCCTCAACCCAGACGAGGAGGCGGTCCACACCCTGTCGGCTCAGCTGGGCCTCCCCAAACACATCATCTGCAGCTTCTTCAGCAGCCAGGACCAAGGACAGAGTCAAGAACTCGACCGGTATCAACACCAGAGTCAGAGCCCAAAACATGGCCTCGTCCATGCAGACGTGTCCACAGAGGAACAGGAGGTGGAAACTGATGGAAAGACTGAAACAAGAGAACAAAAGGAGGAGGAGAAGCAAACAGAAAGAGATGAAGCCAACGAGATCATTGTTTTGAAAGAATTGGATGCTGGCACTCAAACCATGCCCCCTATGAAAGAGGAGAGGGAGAGCTACATCTAACCCAAACACATCCAGCGACAAAGCTTAGATCAGCCATATCTCCCCTGTGAGCCATGAGGTGCTTACACCACATTATTGGTCCACTTGCAGCTCAGCCACTGTTACATACTGTACAAGTACTGACTCAGACTGTTTTGGTCTTGGAGTATTATATAGGCATTTGTCCTATATGATAGGCCGAGGAAAGGCTTAAAGTTGACTAATTGAATCCGTTTATACCACAGCTTTCATAACCAGAGACCTACATGTGATTTGAGGATCCCTAATGCACTGTGACAATATATGTACAGATAATGTTAGTACACAGGTTCTTTGTGTAGATACATATGTCTGGATTAATAGGAACCAATACAATGAGCCTCAGTTTACATATCACTGTTTAAAAAGAATAATTGTAGTTGGTTGACTGATGTAAATTTATAGTGCGTTTATGCCAGAAATGCCTTGTAGAAAGTGGCACTGCCAGTTTGCTTTTCTATGATCAATATCTCCATTTCCTGTTTGTTTTCTACTTATTTTTTAAAGATTGTTTTTTTTTGTTTGTTTTTTGTTTTAAAGCAGAATTTGTCAGTCTTTTAAACCTTTTTTTCCACACTGTTATTATTCCTTGTTCTTGTCCGTGTTTGTAATTCTCATTAAAAATCAGGTTTCTGGTTTCTGATTTAGATTAAATGTTTATTAGGAAGAAAAAATCATAACATAATACAGGGCATCTTGTGCAATTTTACTCCAGTGTTTAACAATTCAGTGAATAAAACAACGGGTTAGCATAGCAACATCTAAAATGTCCTTGCAAATTCCTGTTCCTATTTTCAAATTTATTCACAGTATTAAGTTTTGTTCTGGTCATCAAAGAACAAATTTGCTTCATAGTTTACATACAGAATTTCTATTGATGCATGAATTTGTAAATCTCTCAAAATATAGCTATAAGTGTTACAGTTACACATCTTGTGCTTTTTGTATTTTACTGATTTATCATCATGCAAAGGCAGACAATAGAAAGACAAAAGATTAAGTTTGCTTTTATACTTAATTGTTCTTATTCTATGGTTGACACACTGTGCTGTATATGGAATTGAGTGCACAAAGATTGTGGACTAGAATTATAAGACTGGGGCCATAAAAAGATTTAAACAAGATGTCAGCACTTTTATTGGCAAAAATTAAGACTTTAACTCTGTCATAATTGTATGTTTGTGTTATTTCTATCTGATCTTCCAGTAGAAAATAATTTTTTCCACCAACAATCTGAGTGAGATTAATAAAGATTTATGTGCTTTGAGAGTAAGCCTGGACAGATAACTTTTAACTTCAATTAATGTTTTTGTTTGACAGTCATTTCACAGTATCATATGATATCAACATTCAAATTGAAAGTGGAAACTTTCCTCATCAGTGCAAACTGTGATGCATGATGTTTCTCACCAGGAAACTCAGGTTTAAAACCTCATGTGATAGAATCTGTGGGAGCACAGCACAGAGGCTGAGATAGCTGGGAGGGCTTCATGCTATTTCTGCTTTCCGACAGATAAAAAGATGGTTGTTTTCTTCCTAAGTAACATAAAATCAGTAGCTCACATCTACACTTTATTCAAAACATTTAGTTGGGATGTGTTAGAACAGAACTGGACTTGGGGACAGTCTATGAGATCTATCACGCTATAAAGACTCAAGCATAGAAGTAAAAAGAAAGAAAGAAAAGATGATGCTGCTATTTTAAGACAAGCAGAGGCCTGCTGTAAAAGACCCATTAAAGATCTAATCAATGGTCCTGATGTTCACTGTCTGTATTAGTGTTTTAGACTTCATCCTGGTGATTTCCTCTTATATGACCATGTCTATGTTAGTGAATTGCTGTCATTGTTTCCAGGCATTAGACAATATTCCTCTGTGCTGATCACCAGGGCTCTCTGTACCAGTGGATCTGTGTCTCTCTACAATCACATGCCCCTCAGTGCTGCCGCTGTGTTTTCTATCTTCTGTCTCTTTTCTTTCTTCCTTTATTTTATCAGTCTCAACTGCTTTTTCTATCTGTGTTCCTGTCCCTCCCTCTCTGCCCTCAACTCTCATCTGTCTCTCCTCAGGACCTTTCACATTGCTGCTCACAACATTCAAGCCCCATTTGGTCAGAATAGCTTTATAGTGTAATTCAATAAAGCTGTGCTCTTTTCTGTCATCTGTTTCCATGACGATACCTCAGTTAGGGCCAATGAGAGGCCATGAATGCCTCATCATCAGTAATATTAGCTATAATAATGATGATAATGGCGCTCTTGAAATGCCATGCCTGTGATGATGATGGCAATGGTAATGGCAGTGATGATCATTATGACTGCTTTGTGTTAACCCTCACCACCACACAACACAAACACACAACACTACCAATGCACACAATTGACTCATTAATGCTACTTAATGTCAGCACCTGTATATATTTTCACATGGACTCCTGCCTTTTCCCATCATGCCCCTCATCCTGTTAGAGTTTAGTTTTTTTTTTCTGTCTTTTGTCTTTGGGAAGCACACTGTGCTGAAAGGTGTTGTTTAAAAGCACTCCACAGAGAAACTTGACTTGTTTGACCTCAGAAATTGCAGCAATTAAGTCTCTATAAAACTGTCTTAATTAACCCTCACATTGAAGAGCTCCTTCAGTGTTCTTGCTTATTCATGATGTATTTCATTTCTCCTTGGTGGTGTGATCCACCACAACCTTGTGCTCTAACAGTGCAGTAAGAGTAGTTTATAGTCGTCTTCTTTCATTCTCTCTCCCTTTCTTTTTATTCCTCTGAGAGCCAGGGCCAGAGGCATTATGTTTTCAGGTTGTCCATCCCTGTACATCCTTTTGCCCCACTCTCATGAACACGTTATCTCAGTAACGCCTGGAGGGAATTTCTTCAAATTTGGCATAAACATTCACTTGGACTCAAGCATGAACTGATTAGACTTTGTTGGTCAAAGGTCATTTGTGTGCTGATGAATTTGTAATTAAATTGAACTCTCCTATGTAGTTGGACACAGAAATGATTTCCAAACAGTGTATGCATAGTGCTCGTCATGGGACTCAACTTGGACTGTCTGGGCAAATATGTCAGTCCAGATGTTGGTACTGTATGTACAGTAATACAGTGTATGTCCTCCTATGCCTGCCAAGAGTGGAACCACAAGTATCAGTGATATGAAATATTAACAACTCTATGTACTGTATTTGTGTTTTTAAAATATTGATGGTGAAAGTTATGCAAATTATGTGTTCTATTATATTAGTTGACATTATTGATGCATTACCATGTGAGAAACATTGAAGATGGTTGAGATGTAGCTAATATTTATTACTTTATATGTTGCTGTGTATTTTTGAAATATTTTATTTGTTTAATCTGCTAAATACCTAGTAACTAGCTGCAAAATAAGTATAAAAGTACAACATTTCTATCAGAAATATAATGTAGCAGCATAAAACCTAAATACTTAAGTAAATTACTTTTCAAAATTGTACTTGTGCACAGTACCACCACTGTTAAAACAGACAGCAAACGGTTCAAGCAGAGGTTCTCGTTAAACCAAGGGGCAGCTACCTGCAGACACAGCAGCACCGCCGGCCCCAGCTCCCCGGTCACATGATCAGTCAGCTGATCTTCAGCACATCCGCCTGACCCGCTACTGTTTACAAATCAGCAGAGTCCGACACAGCAGGATGAGGAGTCCTGCATGAACTGAGCAGGTATCTGAACCATAACTGGTAACGGATTATTCTGTGCCACTACTCACACTTGTGTCAACCTCTGTGTGTGCGTGTTCTTGAGCGCGTGCATGCGCGTGCGTGTGTGTTTTACACTTTGTCTCGTGGTTTTACAGCAGCTGTGTGTGTATCGGAAGTAGCGACAGGCCCGTGCATCGACTCGGTCACTGCTTGCTTTGCTAATAGTCAGGCTAACGTCACATTAGCTTCCCTGCTTCCTGTCATCTCGAGTCATATTCAGTCAACACAGACGTCTGCGACATGTCACTGTACGTTCATTTAACTAGTTTGGCCTTCATTTATCATTGCTAGCCGACGCGGTACACGAGCTAGCTTAGCTGTTTTTTTTGGCGTTTTGCCCTAACTGCATTGCTAATCCTGCCTGTCACCATGCATGGTGCATCACAAACGGACACTGTTTACATTTTATGTCCAATTACAGTGACATTGTCAGTGATGGCTGTGAATTTTAATGTTCAAACTGAAGAAAAAAATGTGGCTTCTGCGGTGGTTTGCTTGTGCCTGTGCAGGCCACTCTGCCTGGCAGATTTAGTGATGGGTCCGGGGCAGTGCAGAGGGTTGGTAACAGCCAACACTGCCTGCCTGCACGGTTTAATGCGTTTTCACACGCCTCTCCACCCTGCCAAGAACTAGTTCACAGAGAAAATGTGTGCTGGGAGAGTACAGTCTGACTGTCTGTAGGCTATTTAGGACTAGAGAGAAGTCCAGAGGCTGTGTTGTTTACTCTAAAAAGGGACATATTTAAAATTACTGCATACACCAGCACTGACAGTGAGAGGAAATGGCTTGTATGTAAGCACTGTCTGAACTTCAGTCTGTTTCTGCAAATCACAGAGTGTTCCTGGATTTTAAAATGTTTCTTCCTTGTTCTTCTTGCACCACAGGTCTCTCTTTAGTGCAGTGGTTCCCAACCATTTTGGCTTGTGACCTGTTAAAACAGAGCTATTTCCCACCTCTCTGCACTAGTTGCATAAGTCAGTTGTGAGCAGTTCCACCAGAAAATTTTTTTCAACTTGTTTTATTGGAATAGGAGGTAAAATTATTCAGTTATTCAAATTATTCACAAGAAAAAAAGCTAAGGTTAGAGGGAAAACATGCCACTCTTCAGATTCATCTTGTGACTCCTTGTGGGTGTCCTGACCCCCAGGTTGGGAACTGCTGCTCTTGTTCTTGTATACAGACCGATTTCTGTCAGAAATAATCTCTTCTCATGTATTTGGTAATTGAATCAGTCAAGACCCAGTAAGTTCATGGTATTTTGCTAAGGTTAAGGTCTCAAACATGTTCTCAGCCTCTTGCGGAGCATGTGACTGTGAAGGCTGCTAGGCTCTCACTGTGTGCTGAAGTAGAGGCATGTGAGTTTGTTTAACTGGGGTGTTTCACTTTGACTAAACTGCAATCTGCCGCTCTCACTGTAGCTGCCAGTGACAGCTTCCCTCATCACCGTTTGCTGAGTCCTTTTTGAATATTCATCCTCTAAATAGCCCATGTCCTGTTTCTTTTTCTGAAGCCATTTTACATTACACTGCTCTGGCAGTGGTTAAGCTGAAATGAAGACTAGTGGATGGGTTTGGCTGATGACTAATGTCATTACTTAATTCTTAAAAGTCTGGACTTGTTTAAGAAATGATGGAAAGCATTTTTCAGAGTTGAAAACTCAACTGCAGCCTGTTAATTTCAGTGGAACTACAGTTGTAAGTCACGTAAGTCAGAGGTCTCTAAATGGAAATTCTGCAGGCGCTTCAGCAAAACATTTAATACAATTGCCTAATCTGGGTTTAGTTTCAGAATAGTTTAGCCTTTGTGCCTTTACGCCAATGAGCTTGGAGCAGGCTCCTTGTGCTTCCTTGTATTTTTTTTCATGACACCTCAGCATAAAAATGGGATCTCAATACGTGACCAAAACCTTCATCTTTGTTTTGAAGAGCTGAAGTGAATTTTACCTTGTCAACTTGGCTGCCAATCTGAGGGTAACCCCTCACCTCTGTTACCTTTCAGAGGAAATGAGGCTCTGAAATATTCTCAAGACGTTAAAGAATATGATACTCCCTGACTTTGGAAAAACAAATGAGTGGAGGACGGTTTTAGGATCAAATCCGTGATGCTTGTGGTCCCTCTCAGATTGAATTTGTGGCAGAGTATAGGTGAATTATTATGTAGCCCACATTAATGAGGATTACTGAAGGAAGAGGCTTGGAGCAAGGCTGTCTGACTTGACATTTGTATGCTTTACACAATCCAAAACATTGACATTGCTCCTTTGAAATCATGTTTGAGGCAGTACCTTTGAAAAGAAAATTGTTGACAAGTGTTAATGTATGTAACTAGATAATGTAATGGCTTCAGTTTGGATTTAGCTTCATGCGCTGGTTGTTGTAAATCCCAGGAACAGATCCTGTACCTCAGAACAGATGGACGCAGTGTTATTTGTCTGTTGATTTATTTATGCATTTCATTATGTATTGATTTGATTATTTCATGAAAGATTCGTGTTTTGAATTATTGAGGTGTCTCCAGGTGCTGTGGAGTAAATTATGCAGAAGCTAATTTGCCTTGATTATTATGTAGTAAAGTTAGGATGTCGTTTCACGTTCGACTCTGAGAAGAAGTAATGAAGGCAGCAGAAGGCTAAGAGAAGACCCGCTTCAGGCAAGATTGTGCTAACATGGCGAGGCCTCGAGTCTTCTGCCCACATCATCTTTCATTCACTCACTCACTTACTTACAAAGGCTCACACACACACACAAGACATACCTCCTCAAAGCACAGTGAGTGATCTGTGACAGCCTCTTTGCAAAGTTTAGAATGACTTTTTATTTTTGGATTGAAGGGACAAAGCACTGGTTGTGTTTGCAGGCCTGTAGGGAAAAAATGTACCTTAAAATATCTTTTGAGTCAGATTTTAGACAGAAAGTGATAATATCAATTAATATTCTGTGTGAGGACTTTTGTACTTTTATATTTGCGGTTGCTCAGGAGACTTTAAATCTTTCAAAGTAAAACTAAGAAAACAGGCTATTATTGGAGGCACCTATTCACAACATTCCTCTTCTGTTTTTCCCTATAGTTGTGGATTAGTTACGATTATTTAATGGTATAATGTCATTTTTATGAGGGAAGGGAGGAAAACCGCACTGACTTAAGGAGAGCATTAGTCTTTGAGGAGAACAGATGTTTCCTAAGAAAACAGGCACATACATTATGCATATAAAATAATTTCTATTTTGATGGCGTGTGTAGCTGATTTATCGAGCGGTGTTCCATTCACATGGTTAATAGGTTTAAGAGATGCCTTTGTTGTGTTATTTCCACAATTAATAAGCGAAAAAAACATAATGCTCTGTGGAAGCTTGCTATTCTGTAGGCCTGTGTATTAGGCTAACCATATTCATAAACGTGGGAATAATCCCAAGCCGGATAAAGAATGGAGGCAGAATTGGTTAACCTAGATTGTGATGTCTCACAGAGAAAGTTAAACTTTTCTCAGAACTGGGGTTGTTGGCAGGGAGGAGTTGGCTCAGGGTTTACCTGATGAGGATTTTAAATATATTTGACTTGTAATGTTTTGTTGTGTATATTTTAAACATTGGTATTTGTAGTTAGCGCATCATTTTTCACTAATAGCAAAGACCCTCAGATTTATTTTTACATGAAGCCTGTTTTTCTGCTGCTCAACTGGACAGTTTGACCTAAACTCATTATAAATTGCCACATAAACTGAACAACAGTCCAAAACCCAGAGATATTCTTTTTACAATGATATTAAACAGAGAAAAGTAGCAAATCGCCAAAGTGGAGCAGAGAATGTTTGAAAAATGACTGAAATGATTATCTGAAAAGTAGCAGATGAATTTCCTGATAAAGCTGATTAATCGAACTGTTCCAGCTCTATAATTAATTAATGGTTTAGTCTATAAAATGTCAGAAAACTGTTGAAAAAAAGCCCAGTGGGATTTCTAATAGCCCACAGTGACTCAGTGTTCTCTGGAACCAGAGAATGTTTTGTAGTCAATAAATGATGTGAACAATTAATTGATAATATCAAATATTTTCACAATTATCTGTCCATCAATTAAACAATTGGTCAATTAGTTGTTTCATGACTAGTAACTATTAACCTACTATTTTCTGGTACGTGAGCACATCGTGTCTTTGCTGCTCTTGGTAAACTTGTTGTGCTGATTATTGACAGTATTAACAGTTATGGCTCACTCACCACTACGGACTGTGAGCTGATTGGTTGGAAAAACATCTGGATAGATAGTTGTGTTAGCTGTTATCACTGTCTTTGTTAAGTTCTCAGAATACTGTTATACACACCGATCAGCCACAACACTAAAACAGGTAACTGGTTTTAACTGGACGACGTGTATTTGCATTTTATAAGGAACAACTGATATTCTGTTAATAGTTCCTTAATCATTTCAGACACACTGTACTGTTTGTGTTATGTGAATATCAGAACATTTAATTAATGCATTAATTTACCTACTTAATGGCCTCATTAGCATGACTGCTTATGTTTAATATATCACAGTGAGCGTGGTGGAGCATCAGGCAGCTCAAGTGCTTCTTGTTCATTTGAGACATTCTTCACTGACTGTAATCAGTGTCTGTTTTATTTTATGCTGTGAACTTCTGTTGAATGTAAAAGGTGAGCAGGCTTCTGTTTGGTCGTCACATCAGAAAAAAAACTAGGTACTTGATTCTTGAGCTACATAGTGTTTAAAGGCATCTGACATCACTATAACCACTGGATGTTAGTACATCACATTTGTTTTAAACAACAAAAAAAAAAAGTTCCTGCTGACTTTAAAGACATGACATCATTTTTTGACCCTGTACCAGCGTTGTTGTTTATTTCCCCGCCTGGTGAAGATGTTTATTTTCACCATTGTTCCTTCTTCTTGCAGAATCATCCTTTTCTTCTGACTCTTGGCTGTGGAGAATCACAAGGCTGTGACAGTAAGTGCTGAGTTAACAGTTCAAGCGTGATTAATTGTAAGTTAGTAGAAGGGACACTTTATTGATTGCAGCTAGTTTTTAACTGCACCTCTCCTTGGAGAGGTCAGAGGTCGGGGTCACCTAGAGAACAGCTTATGAAGACTTAAACAAGGAAGACACCTGTCAGCAGAGTCTCTGATCGAAGGTCGTTCTCCTTATCAGCAGAGTCAGTTTTAAGGAAACGTATTGTGTTTTATCACTCTGTCTTTTGGGATGAGTGTTTGAAAGTCGTGTATAACATAACGCCAGATACCCAAAGTTTGGTTTGTAGTTTTGGTTGTCTCTTCATTATCTGTTATCTATTGTGTTGTACTAACCTGAAATTTAATTGTGGTTTATTTCTCTTCTTTTTTTTTTTTTTTCTCTCTCTACTTAACCATCTCATTCTCAAGGTCCGGCTGGGTCGCGGTCATGCAGCATCCCAATTTCGAGACTCGCCACCCGCTCCAGACAGACGAGCAACAGGAGACGGGGTTCGACCCTCTACACAATTTCAACAAGAACCGCAGCAGTACGTTGACTGTCATTGACACTCCCTACGGTTAGACTTTATCATACAACCTGTGTGAAAAAAATAAGGCCTTTAGCTGCTACATAGTAGTGCTTCCTCTGTAGTGGCACTATTCTTAATAGGGTCCTTGTTGTGTTTTTGTGCACATTTTTAGAGAGCCGTAAAAGAGGCTCCTACCAGCAGGCGAGGCACAGAGTGTAAGAGAGAGTCACAATGAGTTGAAGCACTAGATATGAAGAGATAATAAAAAAGAAATTTTGGAGCTGACTGTGAAATGTGAGTCACAGACGTGGCTGGCAACACCCCCGGGCTGAGGTGTTTTTATGTTTACGCGTGAGAGAGAGAAAATGTTGGGGGCTGGCATGTTGTGGAACTGATGAATATTCATGCTGAGTGTCCCTGTGGAATGATCTACTCCTGTAACTAATGTTGATAGACAGCTCTCTGACTGGAATGTGTGTTCACCTGCAGGCCAAATTAGACTTATTACCACCAATAAAGACAAAGAGAAGTACTATCTGCAGTCACTTTGTTTGCTTCTAGCTCTTTCCCGTCTCCTGCATGACACGACAAAGAAGCCCCAAAAATAACTGATTGGTCATTAGGAAGCAGTAAACAGGCCAGTTTTAATTACAGTAGTCAAAGGTTATGTTTTTGTTTATCGTCCTGTGTTCACAAACTTTAAAAAATTATTGCTGTCTAGTTTCACTCCTTGTTTACACCACCCCCTTGTGGCTGTGTCTGTGCCTGTTTGAACAGGAGGATCTCTTGACAGCAGCGGTTACTCACAGTCTCAGTCAACCTTCCTCTCATACAGGTGAGTGTTTCCAGTATTTTCTCATGTGGATGTACCATAAACTCTTGGCCCAATTCACTGCTCCAGACTCCCAGTTTACTGCTGGATGACACATTAGATGGAATACCGTGCCCAATTTGGGTTGAGAAGCTCATAAATCTCCTCGTCCTCTGCTTCCCCTCCCCTGCGCAGGAAAGAATGGGACGACTTGTTCCTCAACAGTAATTACCTGGCCAGGATCCGGCAGGCAGGCATCAATGGTCGACTGAGGAGCAGCCGCTTTCGGAGCGTATGCTGGAAGGTAACTGCCAAATGGATCAAGCCGTCCTATCGAGTTTGATTAAAGGGGTTTTGCCAAATTCCCTGCCTCAGAAAAGTCAGTAGTTCTGGCAGCTTGCAGTCCTTTTTTGGTGGAAAGAGAGGCCTAGAGTTTTGAAAGTGTTGATATCCTGCATGTTTGTGACATCTGCGAGAGGAAAATTCTTGTTGAGGTCGCTTGAAGTATCCTGTCTCTACAGTTGTATCTGGAGGTTCTTCCTGAAGACAAGGGGCAGTGGATCAACAAGACCAAGGAGCTCCGAGCCCAGTATGAGAAGATCAAAGAGACGGTGAGAGCGCCACTCTGTGGCTGTTTCTCTCAGCATGATGAGAAACGTTGCCGTCTGCAGCAGTTTACATTGAATTATAGTACAAACCTCTAAATAAGGTTTCTGGATATGGTGGTCAAAACAAGTTTTATAAAACAAATTTTTAATTTATGAATTTTATGAATTCCTAAGTCACATTGTTTCAGCTACCACAGGCATTTTAAACATAATAGAACTTAGAGCTCCCTATAAGTTTCTACACTTCAGGAAACCAAATATGGCCAAAATATGGCCAAAATATGGTCGTGTGTTTTTAGGCAGTGCAGCCCATCACTGACCTGTGCTGTAATAACCAGTGCATTCTGTTGTCTGTCTCAGCACATCACTAACCCTCGCAAGGCTGCAGGCCAGCAGGACCTGGTGGTCAACAACCCACTGTCCCAGGATGAGGGGGTAAGAGTGTGTGTGTGTGTGTGTGTGTGTGTGTGTGTGTGTGTGTGTGTGTGTACTGTTCAGTATCTGTCTTTCTATCTATCATATTTCATATTTGCATGTAAAATGTGACCCTGATACATTCCCTCCAGACTGAGTCATTACAATAATTATAGACTGTTTCAGTGATTCATTAGCAGATTTTCTAAAAGTAATTATAAAGCCATTGAATTGATGTTGGATTAGGCAATAAATAAAATGTTTAAAAATGACCAAAAACTAATGGTCTTTTCTTTTTTTCTTTTTCTTTTTTTTTTGCATCTCATAATACAGTTTCTGGTTGAGTGATGGCACTGAGAGTCACACTCATGATAACAGAACAACAAGTGATGCAACATAACGTAGATGGTAACAGTGTGTTTCCTGGAAGGAAGTATGCAATTTGGTACTAACTGCTACTACTCAATTTGTACACTGAAGTTAGTTTAAATTAAGTGCTAGTGTAACTTGGAAAGTCTATAATATAGCAGGTCATCTTTAAAACAACATGCAAAAGTGTCAAATTTGTCTTCATACAAGTGTACTGATCAGTGTATATGAGGAATATAGTTTCCAATAATTAATGAGTATTTAGTTTTCTACTTCTAAACTCAACACAACCACCAAGACTCAACTGCCTCAGAACTTTGTCACTGTTCTTCGTTGCTGTTGCAGCACGGTCGCTCAGTGTCTGACTCTGTCTGTCTCATGTTTTTTCCTCTCCTGTCCAGAGCCTGTGGAACAAGTTCTTCCAGGATAAAGAGCTGAAGGGGATGGTCAAACAGGACGTGTTGAGAACGTAAGTATCATCACCTGTCTGTTTATTTGATTGTTTTCTGCTGTCAACGTGAAGTAAACCTCTGCTCTCTTTTTATTTTTTACCATCTAAGGTTCCCTGAGATCCGTTACTTCCAGGATGAGGATGTGAGGACCAAGCTGACGGACATTCTCTTCTGTTATGCCAGAGAAAATGAACAGTTACTGTATAAACAGGTACGGACAGGTTTGGTCAAATTGTCCAAACAACTCATGCACAAAACTTTAAGGAAAAAGTTTGAATGTCATTGAATTTTCAAAAATAGGATCTTTTTAACGCCTCTGGGTGTTGATAGTTGAGGCATGCCTGTGTGTGGCTGTGTGCATGGGCTTCTCAGTGCTCAGCGTGCTCAGACGAAAGAACAAAAAAGCCTTTGTAACCTAATCATTATCACTGTCTGTAACAGGTGCCAGCAAATGAATAGCCAGCTAGTACAGCATCTTTTTTGCAAACTGGAAGTGACATACGGCCGGGCAGTGGCTAACAATATCTAAATTAAACCTGTCATCGCAGATTAGAAACCTCGTGCATCACTATTAAAGAAGGACTGACCACAAATGAACCATGTTTTCTCTCTCCCCCTGCCCTCTTGTGTCCTACGCCCCTTCCACCTCTGCTTCCTTCCTGTCCATCTGCAGGGGATGCACGAGTTGCTGGCTCCCATAGTGTTTGTGCTACACTGTGACCATCAAGCCTTCCAGCATGCCAGTGAGACAGCCAGCCCCAGGTCAGTTCCTCTCAGCTATGAAACTGAAACTCTTCACTTTCAACCTTTCAACCTTTCATAATCATCAGCAGCTCATGCTCTAGTCAGAAGGCAAAATAGCTCTGCATTTATTTGGGAAAAGATCAATTTCAGGGGTCTTTATTTTTTATTTTTTATTTTTTTCCTATACAGTGAGGAGATGAAGTGTCTGTTGAACCCAGTGTACCTGGAGCACGATGCCTAGTGAGTGTTGTCTTCATAATGGATAAATAACTGATAAGAATAATATGCCCAGATATTTCATCACTTTTCAAATAATTGGAATTTGTTTACATGTCTATTTCCCCCTCACAATATGTCCCTTCTGTGTGCTTATTATTTTCTGTTTCCCCTCCACGCCCGCTCACACATCTCTGTCTACAGTGCCATGTTCTCGCAGCTCATGGAGACAGCAGAGCCGTGGTTCTCCAGCTTTGAGAGGGAAGTGAGGAAGGTCAGTTTGATGTGAAGAACTGCTTTTGACATTGTAATTGCAATAATTGTTTGTGCGTGGCAACACAATATGGGCTGATTGTGCCATCATGAATACATGGCATTATACTTGATATTGGAGATGTAAGGTTATTAATACATCCTAATCCTTAAGATATCACTCCTGGTTAATTAACAGTGGCTTCACCTTTTTGTTCTGTCACTCTGCAATATCTGACCAGCCGTCAAATAAAAATGCTGAAAATAACCATTGTCTTGTTTAGTAGATGCACGGTTGATGAACGATCGTTGTCCTCCCGAACTCTTGTAACACATACTGCTTCACAATAAAAGCCGCCTTTTGTTTCTACTTACATACCTTTATTTTGATCTAACAGCAGTAGGAAATGTTGGGTTTGCATTAGCAACAAACAGCAAAAAGGGTTAGGTGCATGCATTGTTTCCTGTGAATCCCTCATGCATAGGTATTCAATTTGAATCCAGCATTGGAAATGGCAGGCTTCGCCACTTACAATGAAAACAATTACATAGAGAGATAATTATTGAATGTAAGAACATTGAATGATTATGGCAGAAAAAATGCTGATCGTAGATAGAATTAAAAAATTTGATTTCAATATCAAAACAACAAAAACCTGCATAACGTAAACTATACTTCATCCTTAAAAGAAACTATTTGTCACTATTGCTTCTTTTCATGTGGTAAATTTTTATCAAACGGCCACATGTGCTACAAAGTCATGTTTATATAATAATTTGCTAATTACATAATGATCTGCTCCTCAAGGGTAAGGAAGAGATGCTGACCAGCATACCGTTCGCTCGGCCCCAGGACTCAGGGCCATCTGTTGCCATAGTGACCAAAGTCAACCGCATCCAGGACCAGCTGGTGAAGAAGCACGATGTGGAACTGCACATGCATCTCAACCGACTGGAGATCGCACCGCAGATCTACGGCATGTCAGTATTTACACTTTTAGATCCACTCTGCCCAATCCTTCTCTTGACCCCTCAGCTGCACACAAATACAGTTACACTGTCTATCTGTATGTCCCTCAGCCGGTGGGTACGTCTGCTGTTTGGTCGTGAGTTTCCGCTCCAGGACCTACTGGTGGTGTGGGACGCCCTGTTTGCTGACAGCATCACTCTGGACCTGGTGGACTACATCTTTGTGGCCATGCTGCTCTACATCCGAGATGCCCGTACGCTCCATTTATTACTGAAATAATCCAATAACGCCATGTGTTGTCTTTGTAGCATGTAATTTCATAAGACACACTTAACTGGAAGAATGTGATTTCCTCCACCTCATTTAATCAGATGGAGTCATATTGCTTTAAATAGAATACTGTAGATCTTTGCTGCCATACATACTGGCAAGAGATGGGTTTCAGCTCTTGTGGGCAAACATCCCTGCTCAAGTATGTTTTTATAAGAGACTGAATCCTTGCATCTTTAGAACAGATAACAAGAAAACAAAAAGACAACCTGCACTTTCGACTTGATGTTTAAGCATACTTTTGAGAGGGAAAACTTAAATACGGATTCCACATTGCTGATATTGAACACAAAAGACTGATATTGTTGGTCTGAAGAATTGTAGTGCTGTTAAACCAAGAGTCCTTGGAACAAAGAAGCTGTTCATCAGAGAGGTGCTTTTCTGAAGGGTATGCAGGTAGAAGAGATGCAAGGACCGATAGGAACACTTAAAATTTTGACACACTTGATTGTGTCCTGGATGAAGAGAGATGCAGCTAAAGTTGCAATCATGTTTTATGAAGTCAGAACACACAATCCAATTTCGTACGTGAGATGAATAGGGAACTCTAGATCTGACAGAGTTTAAATATAACGTGTTTTATTTTAGGGGGTTCTGTGGTGAGATAAATATTCAGCTCTGAGCATCACTAAGTCTGCATATGTTTGTTTTCCTTGTTTCAGTCATCGCTAGTAACTTCCAGACCTGCCTGGGCCTTCTAATGCACTACCCTCCAATAGGAGACATCAATGCCCTGCTCCAAAAGGCTCTGTTCCTCCGCGATCCCAAAGTAAGCAACTACACATATAGCATAATCCATTTAGAAAGCTGTATGCATGTGGATGTTGTTTCCACGAGGAACAGTTGTATGGTGAAGTGATATTGTTTGTGCTCGTGTTACACTTCAGTTTCCCCCTGAAAGTCCTGCTGTACTATCATAAACACTTTCACTTAACCTCAGCAGTCAGAAGTTAAAATGGAGAACAGAAAGGGAGAAACATTACACAGAAAATGAAATAGATATATACATTTTCTTGGAGCTTGACTTTGGACTTGGTGTGCCTTCTCATGCTGCTTTTATTCAGTAATTACAGCAGAGCAGATACTGTGTGAACAGAATGATTTCTCTTGTTTTCTGCAGAGGAAGGAGAGGATTTGCAGAAGTGAAACACTCACTCAAACACAAACCGCTGGGCTGAAATCCTCGAAAAATAGTCATGTAGTTTGCAGCTCTATTGATCTGTGAAAAAGGGCTTAGGTGTTAAAAAAAAAAAAAAAAGTTAGAAATGGCAACAAATGTTTCAGTTCCTCACACTTCAGTGGTTTCATGTTAACGCTTTAAAGGTATTTACAGTAAAGCACAGATGAAATCAATGAACTGGTCATTGTCGTTAATGAGAGGAATCGCACTTAACAAAAGGAAGTTTCACAGATATAAACGTGTTTAACATTGACATAGAATGATAAGGCCTATACACAGTGTAAAACGCGAAAAACGGTAGTTAAGACCTTAAGCATTTAAATAAAATTAGAGATCATGGTTGTGACAGTCACAGATCTCAACGGAAAACAACACATTACAAATTCTGGAAGATGAAAAATGACGTTGCAGCTTTGTGGAGAAAAAGTAGGACATGTTGCTTTATATCAAGAAGAAGACCATTAGAAACCATCTTGGCACAAACATAAACATGATGAGTGGAGAGAGGTTCATTGACCCAGTGTTAGAGAGGCAAATCTCTGTCCTGACTCTGAACATGAAAACTTTTTAGTTCCTAAAAATGTAATTGCCTAATTGTGGTGCCAGCTTCCTGCTGCAGTGACGTAATCCGCATTTGATGTAATTTGGAATGTTAGATTGACACGACTAAGGTGCTGCTGCCTCAAGAACGTCCACTTGGTTAATATGAAAATATGCTAAGCTGGCAAGTGCAGAAACAAGTGAAGAAAAAAATGAAAATGTAGCAGCCAAAATGAGGATTGTAATTTGTTTTGTTGGGTTTTTTTGCCTTTACCTTGAAGCTCTCAGCATATTTTTCCTGTCGCACGCTCGTCTCACTATCTTTTGCAATCACACACACTCAGTCAGAGGCCTAGTTCTGTCACTCCTCACACACACAGGATTTACATTCTTCCCTTTAAATGAAAAACAGTCATTGACGTGTGCGTACGTTAAATCTGACATTACCAGGTCTTTGACCTTTGCTTACACCTCACTGTCCCGGTACAAACCATCTTCTGTTCACTGACCCATAAACCCAAACACAACAACTCGCCACAGTCCTGTCCACTGCTTTCCCAGGATGAAACTCCAAGAAGGTGCTGATCCAACATGACAGTGTGTCCTCCAGGTGAACGACCATGTCACACCGCGTCCGCATCACGGTTACACCTGGGGGGTGGGGGGGTCGTCATCCCTAATAACAGAGGGGGGTGGGGCAGGAAAGAGGCTTGTTGCTCATGAGTACTGACTCAGAGACACCGAGGCACACGTGTTTGCTTGTTTACGTAGTCATGCATAGATACAGATTGTAGGTTGGCTTGTTTATCACGCACACAGAAAACATTTTTGTCTGATCTGTAAATGCGCTAACACAAAAACATTGTTTATTCTGTCCCTCACATTGTAGAACAATCCACGACCTGTCAACTACCAGTTTCAGCAGAACCTGGATTACTACAAAACAAGGGGAGCGGACCTCATGAACAAGACACGGTAAAACACACACACACACACACACACACACACACACACACACACACACACACACACACACACAGCTATTCTTCAACCTCACACACAGACACCGTGTGAATCAAAAGTTAGCGCCTCCTTTTTGAATCATTTATCTTCTATTAAAAGACTTTGAGTGCAGTTTCAAGTTGCGGTTATCTCACAGCGTTGGCAGATTTTCACATTGTAGTGAAAGTACCAGCATGTCCATAAAACCTCTCGTGCAGCAGAGTCAGCTACTCCTCAATCCATCCATATGTTCCATAGTGGCATATATTTCAGGCACAATATGGCCAAAAATTCACTGCCTTTACTGCTTCCATTCTCATTCAGTGTTGGGTTTGCACTGACTTGCCTCCAGCTTGTTTGTTAGTTTGAATTCCATGTGTAGTTTTCTGAATGCCTCCCAGGCATGTCACTCAAACAGTTAATTAGTCAATACATTACTTCAGCCAGCTCGTCTTTTTTAGTCATTGCTGTATGAAAATGAACTGAGAGATTCTTGAAACTTGTTTGAACTGACAGTCAGCAAATGACATAAAAAAAAAAAAATTAAAGATTTCAAAATTACCAGTGCAGGGTGTTGCAGTTGCAAGAAGGGACTGTTGAAAGCAGTCTAGTGCATTTGAAGAACACAACACTAATGTCCAGGGCTTGCGAGCACAAAACAACATGATTTTCAAAGCAAAGAAATAATCAGAGAAGAGAAGAGGGACAGAGAAGAGTCTGTCAGTGGCCAGGCTTAAAAATTTTGATATAGTAGACAGTAGCAGCGTGCACGACTCCAAAGTGCTGAAGCAGAGTATCGGGTGCACGGGCGTTGGTATCTGAACAGAACAAACAGAATGCCGGCACTCACAGATAAATGGTCTTCTGTTTTGATGTGGGGCAAAGAATGAATGTGTTTCAGCTATAAGCCATCGTCAGCGTGACACTCATGATGGCTTATAGCTGAACTGCGTCGCAAGTGGTTCGTTCTTTGCCCCACATTAAACAAGAAGGCTATTTATCTGTGATTGCTTATTCTGTTTGTTTTATGATTTTGTTAGTATTTAACTTTACCCAGAAAATAAAGGGACTAAGTAGTTCACTGTGATGAAAACTATTTAATGCAAGTTTCAAGTTTCTGAAAGCTGCCTGGAAGGTAGGAAATACATCCACACCTTGGATAAATGTGTGGCTAGTATCCACTATTTCAAAGTAAAGGTCTAAAACATGTAAAACCACCACCATTTTTCTCTCTGTAGGCCTTTGTTTTTCTTATCCATCTCAACTTAAATTTGTTTTTTTTTTCTAGTTCCGGTTCCAGTACAAAAACGGCCTCCATCAACATCAACAAGGTCTCCAGCAGCCTGCTGAGCTTCGGCAGGAAGCTCATCGCTCCAGCCATGACGGGCGGGTCCAGCGGCATCTCGCCAATCAACAGCGAGATACACTCCTCCACTTCCTCCTCCTCATCTACTTCCCCGGCCTCAGCCCCTGCGCCCACCTTGCCTCACCCGCTGGCCGAGCCCCCGTCGGGACACGCTCCGCTGCAGACCCCGAGCCACGCCCAGAATCAGCACTATCGCTTGCTCAAGTCCGAGAGCATGCCGGTCCACCTCAGCAAAGGTGAATGACAGAAAATGGTTCCCAGCTTGTTTCAGAAGAGCTTTGTACTTACCAGTCAATATTTTGCTCATTTTTTGTTGGCAGTTGTGGAACTGGTGAATTAGCTGCATGTTCACATTAACCCCAGCACAGATTATCCAGTCTCTATTAAAAAGCATTGGTTTTATATGATTGTGGCAGCATCAGCTTTGACTCTCCTATGTGTTAGATGTAGTTTCAGGTGGAGTGTCTCAGGTCTCTCTCCCAGCCCAGACTCACACTGACACACAAGGTAACTGCTGCCATGGCAACTGCTTGTGTGATTTACCCCCCCCCTCTCCAAATTCATCTTTTCTTGTTTTGCTGCTGTTGCATGTCTGAACACTGTTCCTGCTGCTGGATTAGCTGTGAGGCACATGTTACAGTACACAGACACAGTGTGTAATAGTGAACTGTGACCAGCAGAGGGAGATCACAGCCTGCCTCATCAGTCGAAATTGGTATCATGGATATCATGGCTGTGTTGTGATGTCTGCTGTCAGCCTTGCTTTGAACATGTGCTCCAGAGCTTGTATGTGCTTTGTTTTGATCACACAGCAGCTTTAAAGATTGTTGTCTGTCCTGTGTCCTTTGCATTCACACAAAAATCCAAAGACAATGGTTTCTTCTTGTGCTTCTTCTATGGAGTCTAGAATAATTATAGACTCACAATTTTTAATTATAATCTATTAATACATTAATAAATGGAAAAGTTATTATAAAATGATTGATTAAATTAGCATTTAAATGATGGATTAATGAACAGCATTCACAAAGCAGCAGTGGGAGCTCAGATTGGTCTGAGTCTACACATGACTCCTGCCAACACGTAACACCCAGCCAATTAGAACTTCTGCTGCTGCTCTGAAGGTTTGACTCCATTTAATTATAAGGTTGCAGACAGCTTACATATCTTAACATTAGTTTAATGTAAACCCTAAAACATTAAAGCAGGAAACAAAATAATTTTAAAAGGGAACAGAACACTTAAGCACAATATATAGAATAACATAAAACAATAGTGCTGTTACATTTTAAAATTCATTCATTCATTCATTCCTCATTTAAAGACAAAATAACGACACAGAATTGTTTAATTAACTAATTGGCAAATCGAATGATCTTACTAATTTATTTATTTTTGCTTTGTATGGATTAATGCATCATCTAAATGCAAATTTGATGAATTAGTTTAAACTTGCTTTTTTATATTTGACAATTTGAATTAAAAACCGAAAAGTTTATACATTATTCCAGTGACTCACTCCAGGCTTCATGTTTTTCGTACCCTTCGCCTCATTAATTTAGATATTAGATGTTTAAACATTTTAACCATAACATCTCATTATTTCTTTAGATACAGAGACATTTATAGCATTGTGCTTCTTCTTTTAACCTTCTATAAACTGGAGTATTATGTGACAACAATCAAGATCCACTTACTAACTGTTTCCAGGTTTTTAACCACATCTTAGGGTTGCATCAGGGAGCTAGTAGGTGGATCGTGAGTTGAAATGATTTTATCAGACACACTGACACACCCCCTCCCCTCAAATAAATAAATAAATAAATGTTTTTAAAGCTGAAAGGGTTTTTTTTAGAGCATAGATTTATATTTTCAACTGTAAGTCTTATTGCATTAACATCCTATGTACGGCGTCCTATCCCTCTCTCTCTCTCTCTCTCTGTCTCTCTCTCTCTCTCTGTCTCTCTCTCTCTCTCTCTCTCTCTCTCTCTCAGGGCAAAGCTCCAGGACGGTCAGCTCCTCTCCCAGCATAGAAAGTCTCTCCGGTGGACGAGGTCAACCCACCGCCTCCCCACCCCTTCCCCCCTCCCGAGGCAGTGATGTCAGCACTTCTTCCCCGCCCCTCTCCGCCACCAAGAAAGAGTCGTTCTTCAACATCACTCGCTCTCGCTCCCACAGCAAGACCATGGGCAAGAAGGAGCCGGTGAGCTGTTCAACCTGCTGTCTGTTTCAGTAACTCAGTATTGTCACTCAGACATGTCCACATGTCTTTGTGTCTCTCTTGCTCTCTTTCTGTCATATCTTCTCATTTCCTCTCAAAGTTTCAACCCTAACCTCTGTCCTATAGATTTCCTTCATATTCCCCTCCACTTTTATTGTCTACCTCTCATCTGTTCTCTGTGGATGTGTGTGTGTGTGTGTGTGTGTTATGAACAGGATGAGGACCTGGAAGCCCAAGTATCTTTCCTGCAGGGCCAGATCAATGACCTGGAGGCCATGAGCAAATACTGTGCTAAGATGATGAACACACACATCTGTGAGTTCAGCTGTAGAACGTCAACTCCCCATCATCATTTTCAGCATCTAAAACAGTAGCCAGTTCAAATGATGTGAATCCTGGACACGTTACTGATTTTAAAAAGCACTTCATAATGCCTGTTGTGTGTCAGCATCTGAAAAAAGGTCAATCCAGCATTTTATGGATGGGACAGATGGCCTAAATTATTTTTTCAAGATCAAAGCTTTAATTCATTTATTGATTCATTTTATTTCTCTTCAGTTTCTGTTATTTTCTGTCTTTGCATAGAAATATTCACCAGGTATTTCAACTGTACTGTAATGTCATGTTAATTAGAAATAAGTGCACCCACTTAAACACAGCATATTCTGCTCCATTGTGGGATTTATTGAATTTTACCCATAGATTGCAAACAGTCAAAAAATGGAGAATGTAGTTTAGTATGTTGCAAATTAAGTGTGTGGCTGATTGCATAGCTCATTTATTATATCTCCACAGGTAAAATCCAGGAAGTGATTCTCCAAGAACACCTGGAGAAAGAGGATGAGGTCCTGGTGTCACTGGCTGGACTGAAACAGGTGAGCGACATCAATGTGGAAGTATGAACACTGAGCATTCATGTTAATGGTATGCTTCTGTCATCATCATGCTCCTCCATCTTTTCTGGTTGTCCGTCACCGTTGATCCAGATCAAAGACATCCTGAAGGGGGCTCTGCGCTTCAACCAAAGCCAGCTGGAGGCTGAGGAGAACGAGGAGATCACCATCGCAGATGATCACTACACCTCCACAGCAGCCGCTGAAACTGCTCTGAGCGCCAACAATCACCACGGTGACCACCAGCAGCGAGGAAACAGCAGGCGGAGCCGGGACTCTGATCTGGATGAGAGTGTGAGCACGGACGACAAAGAAGAGGAAGAGCAGGCGATGACCCCACCTGAGCAACAGGTTAATAGTTTGGCAGTCGTCTTCGAGGCCACCAAAGTAAAAGCCCTGGACTTATTTTAGCTGTATTGGTATTAACTACAGTTTAACACTCAGTTCAGACAAGATTAGTTTTCGGTTGTTTTCTGAAATTGTCTGACCCTTTGATCCAGTACTCAACACCTTTAAATCCGATCTGCTTCATTCAAATAAATTGTACCCTGTGTGCAAAATGTGATCCAATGTTTGTATCAGAATATTACTCTTTGCAGGATTAGACCATGTGACACTAAATCTGTCCCATTAGAAATGGATCAAACCCAGAATGATGCTTGATAATACAGCAGCTGCTTAATGAAAATGCTTAGTCACATGTTCCTTGGAGTCGGACTTAAATTGAATTTGAATACATTGAGCTTCAGGGCCAAACAAGCAGCAGACTGCGATTATACAGCCTCTTTACCCATGTCGATCTCGTGTGCAGGTGGCGTCTTCCCTCGGCTCAGAGGGAAGTAAAAACTGGGACGACTACATCCTCGTCTCCCAGGATGGAGACCTGCAGGCCGCTGAGGGAGGTGGAGGAGGAGGAGGAAGAAGAGCTGCGGCTGAGCACACCCCTCCGATCAGGCGAGGGCGGGGCCTGGTGCGAATGGAACCTGAGGGCGCAACCGGGACCTTCCACGACCCACTGATGGCTGGCACCACCTCAGGCTCCTCCAGCCCGGACGAGGGCTCCACCCACAGCAAGGACTCTGACTTCACCATTGTCAACCCGAACGACCTGTGAACAAGCAAATCTCCCCACTCCTCCTCCTCCTCTTATACCTGTGTCATATCCCATTCTGAGGGAGTGATAAAAGAAAACTGACTTGGGATCAGAGGGGGGAATCTGCAGTTTTTGGTGGTGCACCGCTGGAGCTGCTGTCCGCTAGAAAATTGCACATGTGGACTGTGACACTTTGAGTCACAAATACCTTATACTCTGTCTCTTTAACTGTCATCTGTGCCACTTCAGTCCTGTCTGAGCTGATGCTGTATGCTATCTCATCTGCCTAATGCTTGTCTCCTCATTATGTCGTGTCCTGTCACTCATTTAACTGTAGCGCTCTGCTCTACAGAGAGAGGGCATCATTGAACTGCTTACCCTATCACTACATGATTACTGTGTAAGGTTGGACCTCAAACTTCAGGGAAGGACCCCCCCCCTCCCCCCCTGAGCCTGCTGTACTGATGGAGAGCGTGACCCTCCGTTTCTTCTGAATGTGGAGATCTGGCCATACCCCTGCCTGCGTTATGTTTGTCTGTCCTTACAGAGGAAGCTCTCTTCTCAGATACTCGAAAGGAAAGAAGGACGATGTCCTCCTGTCAGTTGTCGAGGGCAGCTTTCTCCCCCTCCTGAACCAGTGCCTCTGACCATTAATGTTATCTCAACCAAACAAAACCTGACTCTGTGATCTTATTATTTTTGTTAGCTTTTTTTTTTTTTTTAATTTTTAAGACAATATTTTTAACCCTTAGACCTATAGTTTCCTGGATAAAAATGATTAAATTATGGAATAAGTCTGTTTTTCCTTTTTTGTTTTTTAAAATTGATTCCAATGTGGACATTTTAATGTGGTAATTAATACTTCTTATTTCTGAGCTGAGTTGTTCTCGTGTCCTGTGGAAACCATGTAAAGCAGCACACACAAAGAATGTCCCTCTAGCTGCCCATTCAGCATAATTAACTCTAGACCAATAAAACTACATCGCTCTTGCTACTCACTGAAGTTAACCCGTTTGTTTTGGGAATGCTTTGCTTGCTTTGACGACATTGATGTAAACTTTTATGTGTAAGTATCAGGGCTACAGAACACAGTTAGTTTGTAATCGTATATTAATAACCATATTATTTCACTTATAGTATCATCAAGTGAAGAATTGAAGAAATTCAGGTTTAAAGCCTGACAGCCGCTGAGGGAAAAAAAAACTCAAGGTCCATTTAGTAGCTGCTCTGGAACTTTCACGAATATCACAGTCTTCATCTCCAACTGGTGTCTGCCCAGTTGTCATGGAATCATGGCATTATGTATAATAAGTGGTACGGTAACAATAGCATGCTAACATGCTGATTTCCCTTAATGTTTGCCACAAAAGTGACACCTCATGGAAAAACCAGGTTCACCAAAATCAGTAGGATTCATCCTCTGGGGAACATGAATGTCTGAACAAAATTTCATGCAAATCCTTTCAATAGTTGTTGAGATATTTCAGTCTGGACTAAAGTGGTGGAACCAACTGACAAACCATCTTTGTCATGCTACTAGCGTGGCTAAAACTGGAAATGTGAACATTTACAATTCCATGACAACTTGGCAAGATGGAGACCGTGTGATATAATCGAAAGCTCAAGAACGGCTGCAAGATGGGCCTTCATGGTGTGGTGAGATTGTTTTCCTAAAGTTGAAGATATTAATTCTGGGGCCGTAAAAACATCCAAATAATTGTCAGGTCTGTTAGTTGAGACTGTGTCTTTAATCATCAGTCAACCCCAGTGAGCAGTGAAGCTGTTTTAATGGAAGCTCACTGGAGGCAGAACTTGTGTCACATGTCAGTATGAATGAATGCCCATTAAAGTAAAACTCTTGCAGCCAAACAGTAACAGACACATGAGCATCCCTCATTTAAAAACTAGTTTATTTCCATCCCAACTTAAGGAAGGTGATCATGAACAGCAACATTTTACACAGCTGAACATATTGAGCCTCATCTACTGCACCGATAACATGTTTCTGGAATGTTTTCTTTTAGGATCAATAACTTATGTAAAATATTCTTTACAGCAAAAAGGATCGAATTACATAATAAAATACTGTACAATGTTTTGCACACAAATTAAGCACTTTCAACAAAACAGTATTTGTTCCCTAGAGGCAGACATTTACAGTCACAGAGTTGATCATTATGGCAGGTGACAGCGGTTTAATTACCACAAGGGCGTTGGGAACATACAAAAATATAGAACACTGTATGTAAGACAACATTTAGAGGGTGGAGTTGAAGATTCTGTGGCAAGACAAAGGCCCTCAAGTTGACTGGATGAAGAGCTGCAATCCAAGACCTACATATGTATAATGAAAAAAAAAACTGGAGAGAGACATACATGGGCTGCACTGGTCCAAGAGATACTATGTTAAAAGACCTTGCTAACTTGATATTGCTGGGTATTGTAGCAGCTTAGTGAAGTACAAACCGCCAACATGTGGAGGCAGCAGTTTTACAGAAGTTTTCAAAAGGTTTTTAACATCTTTTGGCTAAAGTTTCAGTCAGACAGTGCTAGAAAAATGACATTTTTTTCCCTCTCTCTTCATGACACACCTCAAACCTCAAAAACATTGCACATAGGAAGAGGATAATAAACATTTGGTGTATTTACAGTTTAAATACAGTACTAACAGCTGAACCTTGGCTTCAAATCGAGCTACATTCAACTCCCGAATGGCATTTCTCTTCCGTCCCCTCACGGCAACACTCTGACGTCTACGTCTCTCGAGTGCTCGGCGACAGTCGGGTGGACAGTGGTTGCATTTTGAAGACTTTTACATTCATCAATTCTTCTGTTCTTTCTTCTTAAAAACAGGGTACTTGCTGTTCCACTCCCACAACGTTATGAAAGTCTCTCACTGGCGGATTATTACGTTGGAACAAATGACATGAGGAGGGTTTGTCACAGCAGCTACAACAGCAATTTGGTCGTCTCTCTCTCTCTCTCTCTCTCTCTCTCTCTCTCTCATTTGTTTGCTTGCTACGCCGACGGTCCTCTAGCACTCGTGGCCGGTTTGTCATCCTGGCCTCGTCGTGTTTGGGAGCGGACTCTTGTCAGTCCTACACTCTCCTTGGTCAGGTTTCCAGTCAAAGCAGCATCGTGGACCTGCTTCATGTTCTCCTGGACTTCAGCCTTGGCATTCTTCAGTAGGTCAGCCTGGCCCTGGATGTGGGAAAGGGAGGTGGACAGGGAGAACAGGAGGGGAAGGATGGAGGACACGGGGTACATAGCAGGGAGAGATGGGGACAGAGGGTAGAAGTGGAGGGAGGGAGGATGAAAGAGAACAAAAAAGATGAGCAACTACCTTCAGGCCAAAACATGTTCTAATGGTCTCCCCCTACGGCTGTTTGGGTTTTTGTGAGCATATCAGTGCGTGTGTTGCTGACCTTAAGGATGGTGATGTTCCAGCTGAAACTCTCCAGCGCTCGAGTGACCTTGCGACCTTTCAGCCCCTCCTTCGCTGCCAGGCTCTGCAGCTTCTCATGAAACTCCATCGCTAGAACCGAAAACACACGAACACAACAGGTTAGAGGTCAACGCTTTTCTACTTCAACTGTATTGTTCACCTTCCCTTGCTATAATTCCTAGATATGACCGCATATAATTTCACTTTAAAGTTGCTGTAGACGCTTAACAACAGTTTACCTTGAAGAGTTGTGTACTCTGGCTGTAATCGACCAGTGACACAAGGATTTTGTTTTTGGTGTTTTTATCATTTAACTGCATTTCCTCCCCCTCTTATCTGCTCTTAACTGTCAAAGTCCTCACATTCACATTTTCTGACATCACCATATCTGTTCAATGATCTGTCTGCCTGTGTCTCTCGAGCCGATCAGTCTGAGAGTTTCCACCATCAGAAGATCCTGCCCTCTCTATCCTATCCTCATGGGCCTACACTATAATATGTAATAAACTTTTCCACATTAAAATGTCTAAAAATGACTAGACCTACGTTATATATTTGTTTGATTTGTGTATTTCCATTATTATTATTATTATTATTATTATCCCTAACGTTTCCATCAATTTTCAAACCTAGTGATATTCTGTGATTTCAATTATGATAATGGTCCAGTTCATTTGGTCGCCTGTTAATGGCGTCATATCCCCTTTGTGCATTCGTCTACTTTGTGGTTGTCTGGCAGAAGCAGTCATAACTGACTTTTCATCCAGTTTTAAGCCACATTTCTATGATACACCTTTTCAGATCTTGGTTGTTTTTAACTATATATTTTATGAAGGATTTTGTAAATGTGAGGATTTTAGTCATCTCACATTTGGATCTTCAGTTGTCAGAGAAACAAGCTTTGTTTTAAAACAAAGCTAAAAAAAGTTTATCGAGTTAAAGAGTTTATCACGCTATATAAATATATAATAACTATTATAGCTTAATTTTAATTGAACAAATATTCTTTAATCCAACAGGATTTCTGACAGTGTCGATGCTTTTACCCTCTTCTTCCTCACTACAGCTCAGAATAACATGAGAAGACTCTGTGACCAGAACTGGAAGTAAAAACTAAACCTCTGATGTCTTTGATCAGAACAATTAGCCACATGCTGTTAATTATTTCAATGATTATAAATGAACTACATTATGATTATACATGAACTACTTCTTTCCTCTTTCCTGTCTCTCTTCTTTTCTTTCTCTCCTCTCTGCAGCAGAAACAGTCTGACTTTAACTTTAACTGTTTTATCTGCATCTCATGTTCATAACAGTTTGTTCATCATCAAAGAGCGAAAATGCTCAAACATACTGATAATTCATTCACTTATTTACAATATATCTTTAGTCTGACGTTAATAGAAATTATATTTATATTTTAATTAATATTTCTTTATTCCAGTCATGTGCTCATATAGTTTACATTTCAACTTGTTGAACATCACTTTTGGACGTTGCTATAACCGAAATTACCGGTAGGCATCAGCGTTTCTTTTCATATCATAAGTACTTTAGTCATGAACATGTTAGTGGCACACAGCTCCTCCTGGACAATTTTTAAGGTGAAACTATTTTAATCAGTGTTTTTAATGGTTTTAATTTAACTTGGAGAGGAGGAGACCTCTCTAGATAATTGCAACAGCACCAAAACCTCCTGAATGATTAACAGGGAATCCAAACCAGGAGAAGCTGACTGCTATGATGGCAATGGCGTGGTGAAGACAACAACTTCCATGATCCTACACTATTTCACAATGTCACCAAACACCTTCTTTTATTATTGTTTTGATTGAGAGACCCCTAGTGACGTACTATGTGTTTAATGCAGAAGCTACATTGATGGGCTCTAATTGGCAACGTCTTTCTCTTTTAACCTCTGTATACATTGTGTTATATGCTTCTAATGAATCTCTCCTGAAATCCAGACTGGAGCTAAGACTGAAACCTGAAAGAGGAACATGCCACTTAATAGATGAGTTAACCAGTGTGCCATACTGTAAGCAGTATACATCACAGAGTAGTGGCGGTTCTAGCTTGCATGGTGCCCTAGGGGAATACCCCCTATAGCTCCCCCATGCATGCATTAGTACTGTACAGAGATAGAAGATGTGCTGTTTGATGGATTCCCTCTCTCCAGTGGGGAGACCTGTGGTCAAATTACCCTCAGGCCCCTCCCCATCTACCACCACCTCTGAGAGAAAGGAGACCTTTTCAGCAAGCAAGCTGAAACTACAAAACAACAAACTAAAAAGGCACCCACTCCGACACGGTGACATGATGTCATTGCAAGGGCGTAGGTTTGGTCTCAACATTGGTAGGGATGCAACAGCCCCGCCACCCCTCCAAAACAAAGAGATTGGCTGAATGGTTTATTAACATATGAGATCTGAATTTACATCCTGGAATGCCCATAAGCAAATGTAATATATGTACATGTGTTGAATTTAAATATACGAATGTGAATGTATATTGAATGTGAAGAAGACGAAGGAAGTGGTAGTTGACTTCAGGTGGTGAGCGGAAGTCCCTGCAAAGAATAATGAGAGAAGATCTCAGGTTTATCTCTCCCCTCAGTGGCAAACATCTACACAGACTGGTGTGTCAGGAAGGCCCAACATACTGTTCAACCCCTCCCACCCCTCCCACCACCTCTCTGCACTCTTGCCATCTGGAAGGAGGCTCCAAAGCATCCGTTTAATATCCACCAGATTGCGCAATAGCTTTTTTTCCACAAGCCATCAGAACTATGAACTCCCTCAAAATTCTGCCTCCAACACCAGAGGGTGATATGCACAAAAAAATGCACCAGCACTTAAAGTGTCTACTTGACTTGACTGTTTATTAAGGAAACCTGTTTGCATCAGCAACTTTGTATATGTTATCTAAAGCTGCTCTTATGAAAAGTTTTTAATACTGCTCTTTTCATTTAAAAAAAAATGTTTTTATGTCACACGTATATTGTGTAGTGTGTATAGCCTTTGTTGTTTTTAAATGTGACATGCACCCTGATCTACGGAGTATGGTATTTCACCTCAATGTATGCTGAAATGTATATCATGATTCTGATTCTAATGAGATATTGTTACGAAAATCATATGCAAGCATATAGAATATTAATAAGCATGTTGTTTTAATAAAGTTGCATTTTATCATGAGTATTTCAGATATGTTATCAACTTATATTTTCATATATAAAGAGTCATATATGTGTCATTATAATATATCTTCTTATAGGTGACACAGGGTAACATGACTCCTGAAATAGGGACATATATGTCATATATATGTCATTAGTCATAGTATAGTAAGGCATGAAAACATCACAGTATAGTAATGCATAAAAACCTCAAAAAACGTCATAGTATAGTAAGGCATAAAAAGCCCATAAAACGTCATAGTATAGTTAGTCATAAAATGTCATAAAAACGTCATAGCATAGTAAGGCATAAAAAGCCAAGGTATACTAAGTCATAAAAACATCAAAAAATGACATAGTATAATAAGGCATAAAAAGTCATAAAAAAGTCATAGTATAGTAAGGCATAAAAAGTCATGAAAACGTCATAGTATACTAAGGCATAAAAACCTCAAAAAACGTCAGAGTATAGTAAAGCATGAAAAGTCGTAGTATAGTAAGGCATGAAAACATCAAAAAATTACATAGTATAGTAAGGCATTACATGTCATAAAAATGTCATAGTATAGTAAGGCATAAAAAGTCATGAAAACGTCATAGTATACTAAGGCATAAAAACCTCAAAAAACATCATAGTATAGTAAGGCATTAAAAGTCAAAAAAACGTCATAGTATAGTAAGGCATAAAAACATCAAAAAACGTCACAATATAATAAAGCATAAAAAGTCATAAAAACGTCATAATATACTCAGGCATAAAAACCTCAAAAAATGTCATAGTATACTAAGGCATAAAAAGTCATAGTATAGTAAGGTATAAAAAGCCCATAAAACATCATAGTATAGTAAAGCATAAAATGTCATAAAAACGTCATAGTATAGTAAGGCATAAAAAGTCATAAAAACGTCATAGTATAGTAAGGCATAAAAAGTTATAAACACGTCATAGTATAGTAAGGCATAAAAAGTCATAAAAATGGCATAGTATAGTAAGGCATAAAAAGTCATAAAAACGTCATAGTATAGTAAGGCATAAAAAGTCAGGGTATACTAAGGCATAAAAACATAAAAAAAACCTCATAGTATAGTAAGGCATGAAAAGTCATAAAAAGTCATAGTATAGTAAGGCATAAAAAGTCACAAAAACGTCATAGTATA